TATCAACTAGGATTTTTAATTTTAGTTCACGGCTGAGCATAAGATTGACACATTTCCAAAAGTTGGACAATATCACTAATTCAAGAAATTCATACTGCTCTGGCAATGATCAAATGAATAGTATAGATATGTTGACCACATTGAAGCCAAGTTTTCACTCAAATTTGTTTTGTGTCCAACTTGTTTATTTATTTATAAATGATTAAAATATAGGAACTTATTCATCTGTCATTGTCAATTAATAAGATGTGATTTCATGTTTAACTGTAGAAAACGAATTGGATTTGGTGTTGGGATTGTGTGTGTGTTCCTAATTTCTAGCTGTTCGATCTGTCTATTAACATTTGCTGTTTTTTTTAGGATTTCATCAACCATTTTTTCTCAACCAGATAAGCAAGTTAAACCTGTAAAAAAATCAATTAAAGGAAGGTCAGGTTCAGGTCCGATTAGGTGAGATTTTATCTCCGTTCTTTGTTGTCATTTTTCATTCGATTCGCAGGCTGTATTTGATCATTCGTCCAATAAAATTTGAAAATTTACAATATATATGAATGAGGCATTTGGACATCTCTTCAATTGGGCGGATATGTTCTTTTTATTCTTTCAATAATTTTATCTGATTAATTAAGATAGACAACATACTTTTTATAATACTTTTGAAAATAGAAATTTCAACAATTCTTTGCAAATTGAGTATTGGTTGATTATACTTATTCCCCACAATTCATGTTATGACAAAACAACAAGGTTCTAAATGAATCTACAATAATTCAGAAATACTTTTTCATTTTTTGCAATGAGTAACAAAGGAATTGAAAATTTTGGACGAAGACGATGGTGGCTAATTTATATTTGGCATAGGACGATAGGAGAATGGACCCTTTCCACCCAATTTGTAAAATTCAATGCTTGATTCAATTTCAATCCTTTTCAGAAAACCCCTTTTTCGTTATTGTTATGAATGTGGTCGATCTGTTGGTGTTCGCTTGACAACATGTTCTAGATGTCGTGAAGTTTATTATTGCAGTAGATCCTGTAAACTAAAAGCCTGGGAAGAACGGCACAAGGCTGAATGTCTTCGTATAAAAAGTATGTGACCTGTTGCAATTTTTTTCTTAACGATATAGTTTCGATCCTTGATAGATTTGTTGTTTAGGATAGGATATACGTATATTTATCCCGAGGAAGAAAGGCGATAAGGCGGCTTAACCATACAGCGCCGAGAAATCCAGCAATCCTCTTGCACATAACCATCCCGCATGGGATTCGAACCAATGCAGGGTAATCAGAGGTGCGGTGATACGCCTAACGCTTAGCAGGATGCGCCACACCCTCGAGTCGTTAACTTGTTTGAAAACTGATTGATATTTTTTTTTTCCAGTCTTCACATTACACCCTTTTATTTTCAGATAAGAGAGAACAGTCCTCCCCATCTGCAAATGAAATTGCTTCTTATTTTACAATTCACACTTTGAAAGAAGCAATTGAAAATGACCCAACAAGCAACAGCATGAAAATATTACCCAAAAACATAGTCACTAACACGGAATTCATGCCAAGATCTAAATCTGGTAGAACTACTTCAAGTCATCTCAAATTTGGTAAAACGAAAGGAAAGCCAAGGAAGAAGACTGCTTCATCACGATCCACAAGTGTTCTCCAGCCTTCAACTGGAAAGTATGTAATGATTATGTGAAATGATAACATCATCTTTGATTGTTATTATTCATTGTATTCACTGCCAAATTTTTTTTGTATATTATATGAAGTGCAACCTAAAGTGTCGGAAAAGACAAATATGGCTGAATAAACATATTATACTTTGGAAACGGACGTTTTTACATTCATAATCGCACATTTTATCTTTACCAATTTAATTTTATCGGAAGCTTCCAGAATCAGTAACTTCAAAGATGTTACTTTTTGTCAGTCACTGAATATATATATTGAATATATCATAATGTCTCAAATCACTTATTTTTCATCCGTATTCAACTGTAATTATATTACACAGATCATTACTGCCGAGTCGCAGGGCTCATGTGGGAGAGATTTTGCAGTCAAAAGTTGGAAGAGCAGTTTATTTTGGAACAACAGGAATGACATTGGCTGAACTTGGAATTAAAGAGAACTACAGCTTTGAATGAGTGACATCACAATGGTGTTGGCTATTTTGTTTGTTGTCAATTTGATATTCAATCTTAATAATTGATTTACTGTGTAACTGTAGGAGGATCATTACATTTTTACACGAGTTTTTCACTCGTCTCATAAATAAAAGAGTTAGTTTGGTGAAGGAGGTGCCACATCTAACCATATTTGCCTTGATGACTGTGTTTCACAAGATATGTAGTTGGTGACACATTCTTACATTGTTCACAACATTTTGGATTTTAAAAAATCCGTTGGGTTTTCTTTATATCAGTTTTGTTATAAAATTGCACAATAGCAACGACAATTGAGGCTCCTGTATTTTAGTTTGTTGCTTAACTCATAGCATCTCATGCTCATCTGTTGCTTGCATTATGCTTTAGTGCGTCCCTCCTTTAAAAATAAATAATGATACTTGAACATGAACAAATGCAATAGTCCAAGACAGACACCACTGTAGTTGTAAATCAAATTCCATGACAATATTTAATGTTGATGGGAGAACCGAACAATTTTGTAAAAGCATATCAAATTTATAGAATTTTACAGTAATTAATCTTTTCAAGAATTATTTTAGTCCTCATTCAAAAACTCAGCCTTTTCCAAAGTAAAAAATAGCTTGCTGTCGATTCTCTCGATATTGTTATATTTTCGTATTGAAGTTCCAATATTATTGCTTTATTCTAGTTTTTAACAAATGTTTTTGTATAAGAATTTATTCAACTTCGCTTCATTAGATGCCAAAGCATACTTTATATGCATCCAACACATTTGTACTTGCAATTAATAGTTTTAATTTAATGAATATTTATCTGCATAAATCTGTCGCTTGTTTAGTTTTGCGACAATTAGAATTTGTATGTACATTTTTACAGAGAAAATATAATCGTAGTTATTCATAGAACTGCCTATTCTTTTATAAAAACTAGTTGGACGGGAATTTGCATATATATAACGCATTGTAATTAACACCAAAAATAGTAGTATCGTTTCAGCTCAGAGGAAGACCAACAAAGCGAATGAATGCCACTGTATTCTGTACTTTGATGGAGTTAGCTAGATTACCAAAGTGCGCTTGTATCGTGCATGGGCGCTCAACTTCTAAATGGCATTGCAAATGTATTTAAATTGTGTTCCCACCAAAAAGGACTGACCCAATGCAATTTTTTTGCGATTCCTGATGAGGAATCTTGAAAAAAATAGTCACGCTTGAGAGACTGCCATCATAATCTTTTCGCATCAGCAAAAATTACGCCAGGTGGTGACGTAATCGCGGCTACGGATGCATTGGAATTCAGATTTTGTACTTTGTTCGAACGTGAATCATGTGCTTTCTGATAATTATTTCGTTGTAAATTGATAATTTGTGAGACTAAATATGATATATAGGCAATAGTAGGAACATGTGTTCTGGTATGGTTTGTATGTGAACCTGGGTAGTGGGTATAGGCTATGACTACGCATTACACGTACCGTAACTTGCCGTTACCGTAGACCTGTAAACTACAGCAGTATAGGCTACAGGCAGACAGGGCCAAAGCACATTCAGACATTACATGCCGGTAATGAATAGTGGAAACTTGACATGCAGACAGTAGGAATATCGTGGAGTACCTTAACCAGAATAGCATGTGACAATATATTACTGCTCTGGTAATTTTCTACTGCTGTTACGGCTTCCTCCACCACCAAGTCCATGCTTCCGAAAACAAACAATACAGTAAAAACTAATCCCAAACCCGACTTGGAATGGTAAGCGGACGAGAGGCCGTGGTTCGCAATATGGATAAGCCGTCTTATCGGCTTTCCTCTCCCCCGGGATAAATATGTAAATCCTATCCTACGGTACCGGTACCGGTACTGTTTCTATCCCAGTATCCCGAAGCAGAAGACTTGAGAAGGCTGGAAGGGGGGAAAATGCCCTTAACGGCAGATCTACTGGATCTATGGATACAGGGAAAAGCACAGGCTTATGACAATGTGACAGAAGGAAATTCAGTACTTTCGTAATGCAGTAGTGTGTGTACCAGGTTTGGGTTAACTTAGGTCATAATTTTATTCCGGTTTTGCTTATTTTAGTTCTATTACGAGTTCGGGGACTGTGAAGTGAGTACCGGTATACCCCTGCCCATAGGCTTCCATCCCTTTACACAACTTGATGTAAAGTAGGCGAACAAAATTAGTTCCCTCCATATTGGTACACACACTTCTGGAGCGAATATTCAATACAATTCAAAATTGTACCGGTACTTTGTAATCTTGTCTTTTTTTAAATTGTAGTGACCAGTGCCCACAAAATTACAAATACAAAAACATCCGACCAATGACTGAATGACGAAAATTGTATTCGAAACACACACCCTTAATTCAGTAATTGCAGAGAGACTATATACCGAAAATGGTTGAAAGATATATTACTTCTGTACTATGGGTGTTGAGTTTCATGATCTTTCGTCTTCATTTTTTTGTCATCCTTAAGTGGAAAGTTCTTCTCAAGAATCTGGAGGAGCAACTCGATTGCTTGTATCTCTTTTAATAAAAGGGATAGGATTTTCATATTTATTGGTGAAAGATGTACAATACTGCGATATTACAATGTATCATAGGGCAGATCACCTCTCGTTTTATTGCCAGTCTTGATTAGGATGTTATGAGAATGAGGTTGTTACCTATTCTATCTAAACTGGAAATAGATTCTTCCAGGAAGATTTCCTGCTGTAACACGTTTTCTCAACCCTTTTTCCCAGATAAGATCATTTTGAAATATTTAATATATTATAAACTTTCGATAGAATTTTCGATAGAACAATTATAAGTTACCTTCAAATGTTTATACTGATAAATTTTACAAAGAAATTGTTTTTAATTCTTCGTATGACAGAGTCTTATTAATATAATTAAAGTTTATTATCTATTTAATATTAAAATGACGAGCGATTTTGGGAATCCGTTACGGAAATTTAAGTTAGTGTTCCTGGGTGAACAAAGTGGTGAGTGTGTTATATCTAAGAAGTTTTTGTCACATTATAAAATATTTTTAAAATGTCATAAAATCACTCTAATTAATGTGTTACTACTAAATAAGAATATTCATTATTTATGGCTTAAAAATGAAATTCCTTTTTTTCTCATTTATTAGATTTGTAGTTTTTTTCAACTTTTCATCATATCCTTTATCTTTGATGTACTTTAATTGTGTTATTTTTTTAGGCAATAGTTTAAATTAAAGCTAGGTAGTTATTTTGGATTATTACTAGGATTATGACAAAATAATGTTGTTTTGCATACTAATCTTATATTATTAATTTTACAGTGGGGAAAACATCACTTATTACAAGATTTATGTATGACAGTTTTGATAACACGTATCAGGTGATTATTGTTGTAAAAAAAAATTGTAATTCTTATAAATGTAATCTCAGCTGATTGAGACCAATGGTGCTGGGTGGTGAGTCTGGTGATAGTATGATGAACATTTACTGTCAACTTGGGCGTTAACAATTATACCTTACAGTAGAGTAGATGCCTCAAATTTTTGCCTCGACGAATTGTTGAATTGTTTTTTATTATAAAAAGTATTCATTACTGGCGGGATATACCTATGAAATAAGTTTTGAAAAGATAGTAGATGCATTTTCTATTGTATTGGATGTCAAAAGTTGAATATTCAGATTTCATCATTATTATGATTTACTTTCTCGTAAAAAAATTACTATATTCATGAGGAAAATCGTGGATTGGCTATAATTTCAATACTAATATCCAATAGAGAAATTCTTTCCACGATTTCTCTTCTCTTTCGCAATGAACTTCTTCACAATTGAATAGATTTTTAGTTTTAATAAATGTATTGAGCACGTGATTTATTTTCGTTACACATAAGGAGTTGACAATAACTTGAATATAAAATGATGATGTTCAGGCCTGAGAATCTTCAGCATCATTGGTCCTGAAATTGGTAGTATATTGGGAATAATATTATTATATTTTATGAATTTTCAAACATTATTTTTTGTCAGATTGCTTTCTGGAGTCTAATAGGGTTTTGCTCATTACTCCAATAACTGATAAATACTGTTAAACCTTGATTTGTTTGCGGTCTTAGTGTGTTAACACTACAGTGCTAAAATTCTATTTTCAATATCAATTTAGTTACTCTTTTTTGTTAACTTATGCTGCTTTTCGTGTTTTATTTTAACGCTTTCATGGGCATCATTGCTTGACCAAGTCTAAGGTACAATATTTGTTAGCTTCATGCATGAGAACAATACTGTATGGCCCACTCTTCCATCATCTTTCTCTCTGATTTGCTAGGATCGCAAAAAATTGATCAGTATTTCAAATGGCCTACAAATTAAAAAGTGTAGCAGGCTTTGGACATGGCATATTTTTTTTTACGTCTGTCTTCAAATAGGTTCAGTTTTTAGCTTCCTCAAGTTTTATCTTGATAAATTAAATAATGATGTTTTGTACAACTGTGTTGTTCTTTAATACTGGATAATTGTAGATCATCAAAATCTAAATCATAATTCACCCATGGGAATCGAAAGCGAGTAAAACAAACCATTACATGAAAATGGAATTTCCTGTACAGTTTGGCTCATACACGTTGTATCTTTGTTTTGTCTGATTTGCATGTATGTTAGGCACTAAGACCGCTGTCTTGAATAAAATCAACTTCTATGTTGAGATCGCAGAAGTCTTTTTTACCACTTCATTTTATCATTTTTGTTTACTTCTGACTTTTGTCTGAATTCAAAACTTATTTTGTTGCAGGCCACAATAGGAATTGATTTTCTTTCAAAAACAATGTATTTGGAAGACCGAACGGTAAGAACCTACATTCAGCATTTAGAATCGTAAATTAGGCAAAATATTTTTATTGAAGGGTCTTTTCTGTTGAAATAATTTCAATAAAGATTAAAATAGGAGAATCAGCCTATTTAAAGTTCTCAAATTGTTTATATATAGCATGCTGTTACACAGAATAACATTAGGTTATAAATATCAACGGCCATACAAAAAAATTATACCTATTGTGCAATAAGGATGAGGGTGATTCAAATCTTACTCAAACATACAAGTCTAGACATGGTGCCATCAATCACATCAGTCTTCCTGAACTGGTAGATTTTTTGTATAGGAAAGATGTTGCTTTACGTCTAAGTAACCTTACCAAAGTGTTTATTGATTGGTATATGTAGAAAATATAGATATATAAAAATACACAAATTTTAGGAATGTGGTTTTCAATACAAACTCAGAACAGCTAGCAACTGTCATCCGTTATAATATATAAAATCCTGTTAGTGACTTTAGATTTTCTCCAGGTCATATGAAAGACATACCTAAAATGAGTCTCATCTCTATACCTAAAAATAAATATTAGAAATTTTCTCTAAACAATCCAACCATGTAAAAGAGATGCCTATTTTGAAAAGTTGTTTGGTAGTTGATTTGAATTTTCTTCGTTATAAATTCTAGCTTGCCATATCAGTAATAATTACATTTGTGAAAGAAAGGGAATTCGTATACAATAATACCTTGGTAGTCGAACGTTTTGATACTCGAACAATTCGATAGTTGACCAAAAAATTCGCTCGAGCGCCGCCGCCATGTGAGGAGATGGAGTCACCCGAATCGCACATCTCGACTGCCTCTTGACCATTCAAGAGTGTGATGCCCAAATACATGGACATGAAGGCCAACAGGGAGTAGCACGGGTATACAGTCACAATCTTCACGACAAACGTGAAAGCGGAATTGCCACAAGGTGCACAATTTTTGATGACGTCATCTCACACAAAATCGCATGCCACAGAGCCCACAGAAACTTGCTCAAACCTACCTACTTTCATCTCTATTATGTACACAATTAAATAATTATTGTTGTTTAGGTTCATGTTTTGTTAATATTTTTGGTATTTTGGAATGCAAAAATACATATTAAAATTATTACCATTATGTATGAGGCAAAAAATTTCGGTAGTGGGATACCAATCCTTAACGAATTATGTTTGACTACTGGGGTATCATCGTTTTTATACGTAAAATTGCTCAACTGAAGTATTTTGGAGGCAGTGAGTGGCCCAGTGTCACTTGAATGTGAACCTCGGCTATTGCTGTTATTCATTTTTGTTATTCATTCTTGACAAATATTACAAGAACAAAATTCTGCCTACCTTTTATAAATTGACATTGTTTGTGTTTTGGTTATTCTCAACTTTGGTAAAATGAAGTCTAATGGTGAAAATACTGTTAAAATGGAGTGTTTTTTTAATATGGAGCCTGATCATATGTAATCAAATAACTGGAAATTGACTTTATTGTATTTTCGACGTTTTGTCTTCCCAGAGGAAAAGATAGACTAGACGATCGTAGGTCATGTTCAATATTTCGATATCTGTCTGGGCGTTTTTAGACTCGGTAATTGAACGAATGCACAGTCAACTTAATAGCCTAGAAATTCCTACCAGACGGACTTGCTATGAATAATTCAAAAGTCTGTGAAAACCGTCTCATGCACATGCAACAAAGAACGTCAATACATTGTGGCAGCATATGCTTATTGCTCTCTTTGTTGACTTGTATGAATTATGACACAATTTTCTTTTTTTGACGTTCCCTCAGAACAAGAAACCTCATTTTGGAACAATTTAAATGTAAGGGTATACGATATCTAAAACTTATAGGATAACTACTCAGAATTGTTAATTTATTAATAGAGCCTGTCTGGATGGTTGGTCTATAATCAAATATCTGAAAAAAGTGGAGACTATCTTGAAATGCATATTGATATGGCCATTGTTTTTTTCTATTTTGGTTTTATTCTGATAGGGAATCAGGCCGTACATGTCATTAAATAGGAAATTCATAATAATTTGAAACATGACAATTACATAGCTACACAATTTCAGTATTTGATAATACATATATGTAACTTTTCAAATATAATATTTTTACCAACGTTAACTTTTTTCCGATAAAAACCTTATTCAGTTCTTTGATGTATTTATCGACAATGACCTCATACCAACCGATATTTGAAAACACCAGTGTAAAGCATTTCCTCATTTATATTTCATGGCCTTATTTCTTAATCATTCATACCGATGTACAAGTCCAAACATTTCCGAACAATGATGGATTATTGCAAGTGGAAAATTTCTACACTCATTGTAGATTGCAAGATTTTTAATCATTTATTAACAACACTTGACAAAAGCATATAAAATATGTTATATTAGAACAGTGGTTCCCGATCTTTTTTTCAAGCGACCCATATTTTGAAAAAATAAATTTTATAAAATCGCGCTACCCAAGGATATGCTCAAATACTAGGCGGTATGTAATGCTTATGTCTTATATGCTCACAAAAAAAAAACATATTTACAACCTATTATTCATTTTTCCCAAAATTAACTCGAAGTAATAAAGCTGAGCTTTTTTGCTGTAAGCGAGTTTTTGAAATCGTGGCGTGACTTTAGTAAAATAAAACAGCAGCTGCCAAATTACGCTGTGGTACTTCCCACATACACAACTACTATTGAGAAACACTTGAATACAAATATAAAATGAACTATAAATGGAAGCAGTTTTTGTTGAAAAACCAAGCGACCGAATTTCGGGTCGCAACCCATTCGTTGAGAAACACCGTATTAGATCATATGTACATGTTTTACTGGACCTCTGAAAATTCTCACGCTTTTCATTGTATTTTTTTGAAAGTATCAAAAATGATGGAAGCAATAATAGTTTCTTTTTGGATCATTTATTACCAAAAGCATATGAAACACTATATTAGATCATATAAAGCACTTTACGGGACCCATCAATCTTCTTAGTTCCTAAACACTGCAGGTTACTTTATTTTTGTTACTAGGTAAAAATGATATTAGCTATAGCTAAGTATATTAAAGTGAAGTGTATAGTATATTTAAATTATTTAGTATGAAAACAATGATATTGATTTGATTGGGAATATCCCCAATGGGGTAGGATACATTCTAGAATCCATTTATTGATTGGTACTTTTATGCTGCCTTCTTTTATCTATAACTTCGTAGGCTCATTTATTGATTAGCTACTAAAATCACCAGTGAGTGAGTCATCACTATTGAATCCGACGGACTTGAATTTTTTATCGCTTTCGCATTTTTTAAGTTTTTTGTTTTACAAAACTCAGAATTACATCTCCTGATCCCCAAATATTTTTTTATTCTGGAAATCATATTTTCATCACCGCTTATTGTATACATTTTTTCAGACATTACCACATTCTGTATTTGAATATTTTGTTATTCTAGAATTATTAATTTTAATATTCTACATTCTGTTTGTTATTCACCAGTAGGGCCCAATGAACTAACGATTATTGCAAATGTGTTGATTCATTTTTAAAAAGCAATAGTGGTCTTCAAAGGCATTGATTTGAGCAAATTAGTTCAAATCAAGAAAACATTTAGCTCTTTCGGCAAACCCCCTTCACACTTCTGGCCTTAAACGGGAGCCAGGTCACACCTAGTCTCATTCACTAATACTCCCTATAAAATTTGGTCAGTGGTAAATCTTAAATGACAGTTTAGTTATAAGTTATAGCTTGAGTCAGTTCAAACTGACTTGATGAATCTTGTTGCAAAGGCAAAATTACAAAGCAGTAAAATTTATCCTACTAGGAATCGCAGGTTTGTACCACTTCACACATTGTCCATTGAAATGCAATTGTCCGTAAACATTTTGGCTCATCATTAAGTGTGACAAATGTATTGGAAATGCTCAACTGATCATACTGGGCTTTCTTTATAGATATCAAAACGTTTTAAGCCAAAGCCATTTCTTCATCCCAATGAGAAAAATTACTAAGTCATAAAATCTCTGCTTTTAAGGTCATCAAAAATTCCTAAACATAATGCTGATTTTTAACTGACGGGTTTCCAGATTGAAATTTTATTTTCATCTATGATGGTGTTTAATTTGTTTAAGAATATACATCTGACTCATATTTGATAGTATATCTACCTTTAAATATTTAGGTACGTTTACAACTGTGGGATACGGCAGGTCAAGAAAGATTTCGAAGTTTAATTCCAAGTTATATCAGAGATTCTACGGTAGCTGTTGTAGTTTATGACATCACAAGTAAGTTTATTTCGGAATTATTTGGCAAAGACTATACAAGCAATCACTGATGTATACGGTGATTCTTCTATGCTCTTGAAAGTAGTCCTCTCAACATTCGGTATAACCGATTTTGGTTACTCTTTGGTTTAGAACCATTAGGCTTTTTGATTTGTACCGAGATACTGTGACTGTATCAAAAATAATATCGGTTTGATCATATTGTTCTTTCAACTTTATTTTATAATAATTACTACATTTATTATCATTTGATTTTTTTAAATTTCCATGTAAAGCATACAATTCGATATGCCAATTTTAAAAAGATTTTGAATCATTCTCTTAGCCTAGTTAGAATAGAATTTTTAACTGGGGGAAATTCAATGAGCGCTGCCCCTTCCTTTCAACTCTTTATGACAGGCTTTCATTATACATACAGTCCATGTAAGGTGATGTATATTCACACTGAATAAGCTTTACATTACAGAATGAAAAACACTCTAAATTTTTCAATATGTTCAGAATTCAGATATTATTTTGTCTTATTACTAGCTTGATCACTTGCAAATTTAAATCTTTATTTAATTCATTTTATTAATTATTATAATTATATATATGTGTATAATTATGATAATTCTTAATTAATTAAATAAAGCTTATTGATAATTTTCATCAATCTCGGCATTAGGTGTTTTAAAATTTAGCTGAATTACTTTATATAGTCGTATATATTAAACCTAATTCTTAATGTACCGTGAGTGCCTGAGCAGTAAAAGTTTATTTCATGGTCATATTTATTTCATGTGCTCTGATACTCGCGAGGAAGTGCCTTGTACTTGATCATCAATTATTTACCTGCTTCCACTGGATGCCTGCTCATGCAAATTATTGAGAATTTTTATATTTTTATATTCATCTTGAAGTTTAGATTACCTAAAAATCGTATTTATTGAAGTTGCTTGATGGACGTAATATTTTTAGAAGTATATCTATTGTTAGTAAGTAACACTTGAGACGATTGTCAAGGAGATTTGGGGATATTATTTTGTTTTCAATGTTATATGTGCCACATTTTCCTTAATTGGATACATCGAAATAGACAAAATAAATACCTATTAGAGAGAAGAAAGTATTTGTAATATTGTAACTGCAATATTTTACTTTTTTCATTTTATTAATAATTTTGAATATAACTCATGATATCATTGTATTTCCACACCTCCCAATTGTAGACGCCTATAATTGCTTTTGACTATCATACACTTTTTTCACATCGAACATTTTTGTTATTGCATATTTTTTTAAAGAATGTTAGATTAGATAGTCATTGTATTTCTTGTTTTATATTTAGACGTTAATTCATTCCAACAAACAACTAAATGGATTGATGATGTCAGAACAGAAAGGGGTAGTGATGTCATTATAATGCTTGTTGGAAACAAAACAGATTTAGCAGATAAAAGGTATGTAATCGATCTTTATATTGTCGGTGTGTCTTCACCGATAAATGTGTGTGTCTTCACCAATAAATATAAAGGTGTCTTTACATCTTTACCGTTGACAGGGATCTGGGCAAGTAGCCATTTATATATTGATCGGGCAGTTATCTGGTTCTATTAGTGTCACACTTCACACATTACACCAGTGATTCCTATAGTTAATTACTGGAGGCCAAAATTAGAACCTAAAGGATATTCACAGGCCAGGAGACGTGCAAGGGTCAGATACTGGTATCAGCGGTATACCGAAATATTTGAATTGTCACGGATACGGATATACACATGCTTAAACTATGATGATGATTTAACAATTGGAGGTATCTAATAAAAGGAAAACACATAAAGTTTTTAACTATTTCACTCAAGTTCGGTGGGCCATAATAAATTGTTACGCGGGCTGTAATTGGCCCACGGGTCGCCGTTCGGCAACCACTGCATTACGCTACCAGCTAAGTGAGAAACTTCAGTATAAGTGGATGCATATTCTGCAATTTCTAAGTTTTCAACCATTTAATTTTGTTGTCGATTTCTTTTTGATCTCTTTAAGCTTTTTCTTATTCATAAATATCTGAATTAATTGATGTATTTAAGTCTTATTTTCGGTGATGGATTAAATGCGTATTTGCATGGGCTTTGACTCATTTCAAAATTTAAACTACCAAACATATTTGTCTCTATAGCATATGACGTAAATTGGATTTACCAATATGTATGAAATTCCTGTATTGATACATGCTACAAAGCATTCTGATGTATTCCATCTACTCGAGCAACTAAATCATTTATTATTTGGTATATTACCTCAGTGGAAGTGACATCTATATATTGATTTATTGTTGATTACTTTCGGGAATTTCTGTTGTTTTGTAAATAAATGGCCAATTTGCTAAAATGTTTATGATATTGGGTTATTACAAGGTTGATAATGCACTACAGGGTGTTAAAAAAGTAACACAAAAATAACAGAAGTTAAACGCTAATTAAAACATTTAACGACTGATACCTTTAACAAAATTAAATTATGGTGAAATGCCATTTCATCACTGACGCTATTTAACAGTAACTTTTTTAATGTTGCCATGACGAAAAATTCTACCTTAATTTTGCGTAACTTTTTTAACACCCTGGTTTGTAATGAATCAGTTGGATTTTAATACTTTGTCTTACATGTTCGAACAATTGACTCGACTCTAATAACCACTATATTGCACGTTGCTGTTCTATTTACTGCCTATAAGAAAAGAGGATTCATTTTAAAATATATATTTTTTGTTTTCTTTCATGATCCTGATATTTGCTGATATAATAGATAGGTACTTAATAATAAATAGAAATATTTCCAGTCTTCTGTGCTCAAATTCACTCAAAAGTTTACATTGACGTAACTGTTTTCTTCGCTTGTGAATTCTATTTCATTTTCTTGTTTCTAATTTAGACAAGTATCGATAGAAGAGGGGGAAAAGAAAGCAAAAGAATTAAATGTGATGTTCATTGAAACAAGTGCAAAAACAGGATACAATGTCAAATTGGTATGTTATATTGATTGAATACCAGTAGTATTGCGCTCGTTCTTTTTATTTTAGATTAAAATCATGCTTTCTTTTTATTGTTTGTTTAACAATGAGATGGTTAATATGATTTTTTTGCGTAAGATTTTATTGTTTGTCAAGTTTCAAATGTTCGGTTTTTATCTTGTTGACCTCATGTTTAAACCATTGTTTGCTTCTAGCTATTCCGCAGAGTTGCGGCAGCGTTACCAGGAATGGAAAATTCACAAGAAAAAGAAAGGCCATCAAGTAAGTAATATACATGTCTTTTAAATCACTCAAATTATCCGCTTCGATTTCTGCTACAGTACTTTAATAGTCTGTGTGGAGCAGTTATTGGGTATATGGTTATATCATCAGTATATCAGTATATATATCAGTAATTGGGTATATAAATCAATCAACCACATAGACCAGTGATTTTCGGGCGGTAGGTCGCGTCCACAAGGGGGGCGTGGACATTTATTGAGGGGGTGTGAAACTAATTAGAAATAAAAATATTCGGACGGTGCGCACAACCTGAATTCAGGTTGTGTACCAGGCTAGGGTTCAGGTTATGCGACATCCTGGTGCTCATACTTCAGGAGTACAAAATATTTGATAGATTTGTTCATGCCCGCCTTATTTCAACACGTTTTTTAATTAAAAACATACTTTCGCCTTACTGTCTGTTATTTGTAGCTTATTGTTAACTACCGGTAGTTATTTTTCATGGGGGCCGTCAGACTTGACAAATTCTTAAAAGTTTAAGAACCACTGACATAGACTGTATTATTTTGAATTGAGCTGCTGTATATTGTCATAGTATATGTCAATGATTTTCTTTCTAATTTTCAGTGGACGAAGTTATTTTGGATCCTAACAAGCAAGAGACAACACCTGCATCAACCAGCGAGTGCGCATGCTGATATTACTGAACAATATTGTGTTGTATTCTTCCCCTCGCCTCATCTGGAATATTTGGTCAGCCAGAATATTGTGAAGCTATCAATAATCAAACTATATCATGTCTATTCAATTAACACTGGTTAAAGATTCGTTCACTAGCAAGCAGTCAAGCTCATGAATTGGTCTGTCTCCCATCAGCCACTCAATTTTTTTACGCTTCTGATCGGTACAAACTATTGTGTTCCTGCAATGTTTATCAAAAAAAACCTAATTTAAAATTTAATTTTTATCTAATTGGTTCAAATGTAACTGGAAGAAGGTTTGCCATTGTCACTAGTAATATTAGCATTTCCAGAATTTCACTTCCATTTAAAGTTCCCTAAAAACTATTACACCGTTTATTGTATTGTAACTGAATGGAAACTCAAAAAAGTGTTTTTGAGAAAAATTAACATGGTATATGGACGTAAACATGACATATGACGGTAAAAAAAAATACTCTGAAACAGTTGAAATTTCTCATATAACGAAAGTTCTCGAAGTGGTTGTCACTATATAGGGGCCTTGTATAATCTTGCTATAATTACAGCTAGATTAAATTATGATTGAATATATATATATATATAAGGAGACTATGGATATAACATCGTCAGATGTGAATCAAATGTGACATTGTGTTGTACTTTAAAAAGCATGTTAAACTTTTTGAGGTGCTAAATCAGCGGCCATGATATCCTATTTTTCAGCTTTACATATTTCCAATTATTGATATTGTATTTTATATATTTAAATATTGTTGCTGTAGGGGTGAATTCATCATCTAGGTATGTAACCTTGAATGGGAATATGATAACCCAATTCCCCATTCTAACTATTTTTCTCCTGTATTATCTATAGAGGAATCGAACATTCACCTATATTTATTTTTAAGTTATGCTCAACAGTTAGAAATGTTTGTATCTATCAGAGGAATCAAAAATAAGTAAATGTGGTTTTGGGTAGTAATTTAGCAATAGGTTGTTACTAAAAAAATATTATACTGTTGCGAATATGGAGGGATAAGATATTAAACACTGTTGCCAAACACTTTCCTAGAAAATATGAGCTTACGAATTTGGGTCTGTTGAATATTATAATTACTTGCCAGAAATTCCCTTGTTATGTTGGGAGTGCAAACCGAATCAATTAATTTTGAAAAGTATCTTAATATCATGGCCATAGCCATAAATTAGTAAATAAAACCTTTTTGTATGTGTGTCATCACTGTTTTTGCACTACTTGTATATTTTGGACACCAAACAGTCTATGAGATGTGTTTTTAATACAATGATGCAATTGATTTGTCAAAGACATACTTATCAGTGAATAAGTTACGACAAGAGTCGAGTATTGTTCAATGCTATAACAAAATTGGTATTGCCTGTACAAATTCTCGAGCTAATAAAATATACTCCTTTACTGCACGACTGCGATACAATATTTTCAATCCATCAGCTGATTTCCAAGCATTCAAGTTATAAAGCGAATTTTGATTTCTCTAATGTCTGCATGTTCGTATGATCCTTTATTCTCTCTGTCTGCATCTTGTTATATAACATATAGGTTTGGATGTCGACTATTTATGTCGTATGTATATTTACAATACATGTATTTACTTGCAGTAAAAGTTGTCTGTTTGTTTTACGGGATAATTGTGAAAGTGGGCATCTGTACTGTGTAGTGGAGGAAGGAGGGGGTTTGCCTTTGGTTCGAGGCTCTTGACTTGTTTGCTTTTGACTAGCTCATGGACTTCCAAAATGAACTCCTGCAGGAACACCTTTTTTAGATTCTTTTATTTATCTATGTACCTGACGTCACTATTACCATATCTGAATAAGATTTTGAACGTCTTCTCCGAATCAAGAGCACCATGGACCATAACACTTCCAAGGCTATATATTATATGTTGAGAGGGAAGATTTTCATATGGGCGCGACTGAGGGGTGGGTTATCAGTTGGATACCTAGAGGGGCGGGGGATATAAATGTAGTCTGAAATATTTTGATGAGTAATTTTTGGCGTTTTAGGGTCTTTTGGATAATAATTGCAAAGCTATGTTCTATATAGAATGAATGCTAGAGGTCCTTATAGCCAGCTCACTTATACCTCCTTTTTATGTTCTTTCGGTCAACACTTTTCCGCGAATGACGAATCTCAAAATCAAAGTTTTCCAGAACACGTTGATTCAGGGTGGCGTAAAAAATCATATTCCACCATTTTAAATTATTTACAACATCGAAAAATCAGCAAGTATTGATTAGAATAGAGTCTCTAGTTGGGTTTTCAGAGATTGAGTGAAAATGTGGTTTCAATTTCAGTTTATGGCGCTGATGAACGTACTGCTGAAAGAATGATAGTATCTGCGCTGACACGATAGTGATATGGCTGCCATTTCTATAGCATATTGTTTCGTACAAAGAGAGAGAGAGAGAGAGAGATTATTTTTCTGTCAATTGCTGCCGAATTTTTATATTGAAATATTTACATGTTATGTTACATGGTAATTATGAAGAAATTTATCAATCGAATATTAGTAGATTTTCCGATGTATGAAATACGATGTTATATTGGCACAAAATCCTGCGCACGTAACCCAATGTATCAGTTTCATAAGAAGGATAAACATTTATTTATTTTACCACCAACGGTAGCCAAATTCTATTAGTTTTCTAATTGAGCCAGTGCTCAATGCATCTGAATCAATTAATGCTTTGGATCCCAAACATCAATTTTTCAATATATATATATATACATGTGATATTTCTGTTTTTTGGTCGGGAATATGAAAACTATTGTTTTAACCCTGCCCTGCACACTTAAAGTAATAATTACATAGTATAGGAATATCGGCAATATCGGCCATTTTTGAATACCGATGTATTGGTATCGATATCGGCGTTTTAGCTGGTATCGGATCGGTATCGGTGACAAAAGTGGTATCGGTAGCCTACATCTCTTGTGACAATACGACCGTGAGTCATCAGAATAAGTCACCACCAAATTTGCATACTACGTATGAAGTTGAAAAGTTTTAGGTATGATTGCACAAATGCAGGGCTTAGTTCATGATCTTGGATACATATAGGAGATGAAAGTAATTTAATGCACCGTATGCAAACATTTGGGATGGTTTGAAATCATGATATTGAGAATAATTAATCTCGTCGATATCTCACACTAACATAGTTCATTTTGACGCAGATTTAAATGTTTGGTGAATGAATACTTCATTAGTATAAACACTGATATAATTTGAGGCAAAAATATATTTTCAGGCTAAGCATTTTTAAAGAACTATTGTTTTTAATAATGTTTGATTTGAACTTAATTTAACTTGAAATTTTTGACTTTTTACAAGCCTCGGTTAAAACGTATATCATCTTCATTTATGAGCATCTTCGATTACATCTATGGTTTTTTGGTGTCTTGCTTGCTGGTTGTTTTTATCCTTACAAATGTGAAATAGATGAATAATAATCAATAAATGAATACATATTTCAAATTTCTAACGAACTTACTCAATTACAAACATGAAGCGAAGTTCTGTAGAGTGAAGACCATGTCAACAGACGTCGCATAAGATCAATTCCGATTATAATTACCCAAAGGAATGGAGCCCCGTAAACGTCACCAATGCCCTATTATGACTCCTAGAACATGTTTAGTCGAGACTGGGCTTATAACGAAACACAAAAAGACTAACAACAAATAAATAGTTGTCTTGATAAAGTTTCTATGGAATGTGGTTTAATCAGACAATCTTCTCAGTCACATCCCAAAAAAATCTACGTTCTTTATTTTCACTAGTAAACAACAATCATTGGTCACTGATTAGAGTGAGAAAGAGATTACAGTATCTTTGTTTCTTTATTAAAAATGACATCCCCCCCCCTCCCTATGTTTCTTTTTGATACTGCTCTTTTTTCTCTTTCAACTTTAAAAAAATATTTGGCGCGCGTACCACATTTCGGTTCAGGGCGTGGTAGTGTGAGGTCGTTTCTGCGCTGGTCTGAGCCAGGTATATTCACAGTTTTAAGGCGGGGAAGGTCTAGCTATAATTAAGTTAACTGATTATTCCCATTCTTCATGCATATATAAGCTAGAACTTGAATTGTATAAATAATAATCTATTCCGATACAATTTGGTAGCGCATTTTTTTAGTAATATTCAGAATTTTGAGTGTTATATGATGAATATAGATTTCAGCATTGAGTTCTTGTTTCTTTTCTTTTACCTTTTGAGTGTATTTATTTTCGTGTTTTGCAACGTTTTTCTTTATGAATCAAGTCTTGTTTTCTGATCATATTTTTTGTGAGTTGTAATCCGCGTCAACGTGCTGTTTATAATTTTTCTACTTTGCACAAGAACTTTGTATCATCGCTAAAAAGTAAGCCATAACTATTATTTTCAAATTACAGGCTCAAAAGTGAAGCAAAATCTACCGATATAATATATGTTGGAATGGTTGATGGTGGAGTGACGACTGATTGATGTAGGTAGAAAGGTAACTGATCTAAAATAGTTTATCATAACTTGATTATAAAGTAAATGCCTGATTGGTCGATGTAAATGAAAAGGTAGGTAGTTGGTCTAAAAATGTTACAAAATCTAAAGTTTTTTTATCACAACTTGATTATAGAGCAAAAGTTTTATAATTTTTAACTTAATTACAGGGCTTTGCGAAGAAGGAATATGTTGTTAAGGGGTGTCAAACATGCGGCCAGGATGGCGCACAACTGATAACCCTAATCTGGTACACATACTATGTTCAGGCTGTGCGTCATCTTGGTGCACATACTTCGGGAGCACCTGCTAAACTGGCAATCAATACTAAGCCGGGAATACCTGATAACTTAATAATCGAATCTTGATTACTAAGAAGAAATTTAAATTTCATATTTAAACATGATTGTATGCAAACTTTTATTTTAATAAGTCCTCAAGGCATATAAATTACTGAAAACATCCATCACTCAGTCAGTTCGCTAAGTCGTCACTCACAATAAGAATCATGTTTCATCAATAACTCACTGGGAAGAAAACAGACGTGTGTCCGTCCCTCATAACAGCGTACTTCGTCAAATAGCCACAGATATGTGAATAGCTGTTATTCTTGTGAAAAAATCTGCGTCATTAAACTTTAACTTATAATTCAGATTCTGCCGGGAACAGCGAATCAAGGCAGTCTCAATATTACAAATCTGAATAGAGTAAGTAATTATTCCATATATTTCTGCTTATAAAGGCGTGAAATATAGTAAGAAAATTGTTCAACCAATTACTTTATCAATATCTTTAATATCCAAATTTAGCTGCAGTTTAGAATTTTAGTATATTCGCCTAGCTATAATTTGTTTATCCCCAAATCCTTTTTCAAATTGGGTATAAGGGGCACCATTATCGGAAACTCGCCTAGGCAGCGGAAAAGTTTGGCACGTCCCTGTCTATGGCTATCTTCATTACATCCTTTTAGGGCAGGGGTCGGCAACCTACGGCCCGCGGAATAACATAATCCGGCCCGCAAATGGGATTCAAATAGAATTTTATTAGGTGCAATGCAATGAGGAAATAAATCTATATTCTATTCGATAGATGTATCACTGCTTGATTTTTATTATAAAAAGTATCATCCGTTCGGTTTTCAACTTTCTAAAAATACGACTTGCAACCCTTAATTTTGGCCCACGAGCGACAAAAGGTTGCCGAAAGATTGCCGAACAATTTGCGGAGATATTTCGAATGCTGTAAATTTTCGCTGTTATCGAATCCCAAGTGATGCTTCTAAAATTCAATCCCAAGCATATGGGTGTTTTACTCGTAATTTTAATTGCAGAATATGGAATTGGGGATAGCAATTTTAATCTAGAAGTTATTATTTTAATTAAAATCATGGCGGTTTGTGGAATATTTCTTCCAACACCGTGTTAAACTATTTGTATATATTTCAGGTGCGTACTAGACGTAAGTAAAAGATGATTAATCTCACGTGAAGCAGATGTAGAATGGCAGTTTTATCTTGTATAGAGTGTTTTAGAATTGTACCAATCGTATTTTCCATTTTATTTTAATCAGTTTTGTATCCGGGTTTTAGAAGGTCAGCGCTTCCTTAGCCACCCCCCAGATCGTGGGTCATGATAGGTATTGATTGGTTAGGGACACAGACTTTTTTGGTGATGGGTACATGTGAGGGCTGCCATCAAATAACTATCAGCTCGTGGGCTGCTATCATAGATATGAACGCAAGATTTATTCGAATACGGTATCTTGAAAGTTGGTAAAGTTCCTGTACTTTGTCACAAATTTCGTCGTCCTGTGCCTAGAATCTTTACAGTTTTTGTTATTCTGACATTTTGGTAACCAATGGATATTAAATATAACCGATGAGAAAATATTTCCATGCTTGCTCCGAGTCTGGGATTGGTTTGTTAGGTTTCCAGTAGTTGTTCGGGATAAACTAGCAGTCATCGGAATGTAGAAAAGGGCGTGTGCAACATTCGTATGACGTCACTAGGTTATGGCGTCACCCTAGCGAGCAACCATATTTTGGGGCAGGCCGGCGCTAGATCCGGGCAGAAACGGCGCGATTTATTTTTATGTGTGGCCGACCATCGGCCGTAGATAAACCGAGTATAATTTGAGAAATTTATCCACAATCAAGCCTGATCATGCATGAGCCGAATATAAATTTCAAAAATCTCCATTTTCCAAGGTGACTCTTCGATTTTCTTCATTTTCGTTTATTTTGGGATTTCTATCTTCTTATAAGTTGGAGCTTCCTTCATACTTTATATATCTGCGTAATCCAATTAATGAAGACACGAAATTGAATCGGGACAGTAAGTTCGCGGAATTCAAACTTTGGTCACCATGAACAAACTAAAGGTATAGCAACCGCCTTTACCAACCAGGCCAAGGAGGAACGCGAGAGCAAGATCTAAGTTCTAATATTTATCATTCATCATGAATGACTTTTATATTTTTTTTACAAATCCTTTGAGATGATACATAAATATTAGACCTTAGACCCTTGTTTCTAAGTTCTTAATTGGCCTAGTTGGTAAAGGCGCTGGGTAGACCATATATTTGTTCACGGGGACTAAAGTTTGACTCCCGCGAATGTGTAATATCCGCTTGTCAAATGTGTGTCGTCACTGAAAGGGCGGCGCAAAGAACTATATAACGAAGGAGAAACTCGAGCTGTGGACTACAGAAACCCCAAAATAAGAGAATATGAAGAAAATCGAAGAGTCAGATGAAGGAAATCGGAGGGTCAGGACCTCAAAAATAGAAATTTTTCATTCGTATCATGTATGATCAAGCATGGTCGTGTATAAATTTCAGCAATTATACTCGACTTATCTATGGCCTACTATCGGCCAGAGATATATATAAAAAATAAAAATAAAACGAGGCCCGGACCCGGCGTTAGGGCGCCCCATAAAATCGCGGCTAGCCAGTGTGACGTCGTAACCTTGTTACGTCCTAATGTAAAATCCGCAGAAACTAGACAAAATGACGTTTTGAGACACTTCTTACACCTATGCTCCAACTCCCATTTCTTATTAGCCTTTAACAAAACCCAGTCCCCGACAACCAATAAGCATGGAGAACGGATATTGCTTCAATAATTTTATTATTATTCAAGCAAGAGAATAAACAAAAATATACATCTAGTCTTCGGAAAAAAACTATGAGAAAAGGTGGATAAAGTTGAGATATTAATGGGAATGCAGGGACGGATTGTTTAAAAGCGAGCAACATCGAGATATCAAGCTTTTGTCATGATCAGACACCTAATGAAGAATTGTGAATTTCTGGGCGATACCTGGGCTCAGTGGCATACATATATAGCAAGAAGACCCCTGCCCCTGCCACGGGCGCCATTTGGATGAGGGCGCACAATGGGCGAAACCACATTTTGATAAAAATTACTTAAATAACGTAAATGTATCCCAAAGCAACAAACCGTAGTTAAAAATTTCAGTAAACGATCGATCAAGAGGGCGCATTTCCATAGGCGCCATTTCACGCAGATTTGCCACTACTGCCACTACACATCATATACAAATATTTATAACGTGTAAGACAAGAGCTTTAGATGTGATAAGACATCTAGGATGTGATATTGTAGGTTTGTCCGAAACAATCAAAAACTTTCAATGGAAGAATAATTTAGTTAGCAAGAGGTTGGGATGATATAAGCATTAATTAAATATACCTAGATATAAATTCAGACAAATTACTTGCTATATCAATTATGATATTAACGAATTTGACATTTTTGATTGATGATTAAATTAATGAGAGAAAGTTTTCATGTGAGTGTATGGCATTGGTTACTTACTTAAAACATGTAAATGGTGAATGACTCAAAGTAACGTCTATATAGGTATAAAAAGCAATCATATCAAAATTGAGCTTAAATGTTTTTGTATGAATAAGGTCTACAAGCATCATGTAAAATATCAGGAAGATATCCCATGTTAGAATGTAATTTACACTGGTTTTTAATTTTTTTAGTTAGGAACCGAATTCTATGAGAATGTTTTTAAGAGATGAAACGCTATTCAGAAGATGTTAAGTAAGTGAAACGCATTCTTTAGTGCAGGGTGGTCCACGTTTTTGGCCGAAGGGCCACATTTAGTTCACGAATGATCGCGCGGGCCACTTGACATGGTGGTTATGTACTAGTTTTTACTACGCCGACTGCAGATTAATAAAAAACAAAAACAAAAAAAACGCAAACCAAAATTATAAGCACAATGAAAATACGAAGATACAGTAAAGTCAAAAGTTTTTACTACGCATATATATTTCAATGTCAAGTATGACACCGCTTTCATCCAATAAGTTTGTCAATGCAGAGCGAATTTTTCATCAGCGAAATCAGTGATCTCATGGGGATTTGACATGGTTCATCTGTGAAAAAACTTGCTCGCACAAGTAAGTGCTGTCAAATATTGAGGTCATGAAAACTGCCTCTTGTAGCTTCACAGAAAAAAGACAGGAAATCGGATTGAAATACATGGCAGACGATAAAAATAAATCCAAACATCTCTCTCCAGCAATTACGCCCACAAAGGGACATAAAAAAGCTTTCGATAGCTGGGTGGTGCTTATCGCGCGTTTAAACGACGAGGAAAAACTTTTTATTAGAAGTTTCAATAATGGCTCAGATTTATGAAAAACATTGGGATTCGAATAATATCACGCGGGTCACTCGGAAACCTTCGGCGGGCTACATGTGACCCGCAGCCATGGGTTGGACGACCCTGCCTTAGTGCCACCCATATATATTCCATCTGATGCATCTAAGAAGGTCGAAACGAGAAAAAGTTTTTGAAAGAGATGGGTCCAATCAGAAGATTGCACTCGAAATGTTACCTAGAATCTTTTAAATGTTTATGTAAATATGAAATGATAATTATACGGCTATGTGGTATTCGGTGGAACCTTTTAAATTAGTCTGTTTGAGTCTAGATTCGCATGATAACATTGGATGCCACATTTAAAATATACAGGGTGGTCACTAGAAAAGCAGAAATTTGAAAGCTCGAATGAGATCAGGGATAAAATGCATTCTTAATCATTTCTTGGACTAAGATACTGCTCTGCACAGATGACATTTTTATCATCTATGAAGGTAATATAGCATATGTCTTTAATCATCTCATTAAAGTCATACTTTGTAAAAATTGAATGTTTGATAAATTTTCTGCTTTTATAGCGACAACCCTGTAGTTCGCATAGACAAGCAACAGTAGCAATAAACAAGAGAGCTACGCACAAATATATGGACACGTTAGACCAGAGCGAATCAGTCTTTACCGGTACCTTTGACGCTACCGGTACCCTCAAAAGAGTTCTGAATTTCCAGTAGCAAGAATTTTGCAGAATCAAAACGTACAGCCAGTCATGACACTGACTAAAATCCGTGTTCCCATGGATAAAAAATAATACAGCAAAATTTTAGACGAAATATCAAATTTCATAGAATTCACGCAAAATTTTGAAATAAATAAAAGTAATAGCCTTCTAGCGAAGAAATTAATCTTTAACCACTGAAAATTTCAAAGCAATTGGTCCAGTATTCGAAGAGAAAAGCGATTTTTTAAAAACGTGTCAAAGAACAAGAACAAGAACAACAACAACATAATATTGAAACGATCGTTATGGCCACTAAACGTGTCCAATAAACTGTAAAACAAGTATTATGAGAATGATTGATTACAGTTGATCTAATGACCAGTTTTTGGGCAGGTATTTTCTCGATGACCTCTAAAAAAGCCAACATTACGACATATTTAAAGAAAAAGGGAAATTATAGATTCGATTTCATTATGATGACAGAACAGCAGCATGGTTCAACATGGTCATATATAATGCCAAACATAGCGCATATTCAAATAATTTAATGAAAAATATACATGTATCATAGTTTAAATAAATTATGTAACTAAATTTACTGAAAAATTGAACAAGTATATTTTAACTTTGTTACTGAACGTCTAATACATTCAAAACGAGTATCGGAGGTATAAAATAAAAACCTACTATAAAGCCAGCATTACAACATATTGGAAGAAAAAAAAAATTTTTAGGTTCGAATTCATCATGACAGAATGAATAGTCGTTAAACGTTTTATCTGGCCATATATAATACTAAAAACATAGTGTATATTTCGATAATTTTATGAAAAATATATATTTATCATAGGTAAAAGTGGTTTTGTATTTCGAATAAATTTAATAAATAATTGAACAATTACCTTTTTTACCGTTTCATACACCGATACGGAACGTCTAATACACTTGGAATAAGTTGGGAATGGTATACAATAACTATAAACATTATACGGCCTCTCGTGGATTTTATTTTTTATTTTGAATAATTACAGTTTTGGTTGGTCGATTTCTTGAAAACCTACAATGAAGCCAACATTACGAAATATTAGAAAAAGGGAGAACCGTGCAGATTCCATTTAATCATAGCATAGCAGTAGCAGCACGGTTTGATATGGCTGTATATAATCCCAAACACAGCGTATAATCTTCGAATTTTTAACAATTCAAAAAAATATTTCAATGGGGTTTTGTGGTTCAACTCAAATTTAATAAACACTCGAGTAAATATTTTCTAAAACTATTGTCTAAATTCCGTGTTCTACGTCTAACAAGTTGTTGTTGTAATTTGCGGAAAAAACAAAAGAAGCAAAAGGAGCAACGAAAGAAGAACGAAAGAAGCAAAAGGAAACTAACTTAAATTGCGTTACAGAAGTCGCAAGGGACATCAAATGGTCTTAAGGCAGCGACACCTACAAGTGACAGCGATAAAGTTTATAGTAAGGATACTATATGAATGATTTTAATTTTGTTATCATAATGTTATATAACAATAAACAAGTAATAATTTACAATTCATAATTGTTTTATACAGATTCTCCAAAACGAATCAAATGTTTTATCTCTCGCTTTCTCATTTGTCGTTGTTGAATCGAATTTAAAAAATCTGGCAACGATATATATGTTGCGACTCACTTTGTTCTTTTCAACCAATTTCGCTGCTCATTGTGGCCGTTTTAGGTAGGTTTATCATAAATTGTTTTTTCTTCGTAAATAGTTATTATTTAAGCTGTATATTGATATTTTATTGCACAATGCTAGTTCGTATACCGCGTCATATTTCATATGGTTGGTAATGTGGTGATTTACCTTCGATTAATGTCGATGAAACTTGACAATTACCTGTACCGTTCTTCCTGTCTGGATTGTTGGTACATGTTATCTATAGCAATAATTTCAGTACTAGTTAAGTTTGTTACATAAATTTATTTGTGAGTGATTCTTAACGTGAAGTGAACTGTAGATTTTTATAGTTGATTGGATATTTGAATAGATTTTCCAAGTTCTGAATACAATAGTATTTTCAGTAAACCCTGGTATTTCGTTAATATTACCGTACAGTACTAAGCTATAGACTATATTGATTAATTGTATATAAAATTAATTTTAATATATGGTTTCAGATCCTTCATGGTCTTGAAGGGGAAATTGGAAAATGGCTTCGAATAAGTGAGTGGAACTTGTATAATAATTATGGATTATTTCAGTTGTTTTTTAATTGGCATTGTCCTATGTATTGTGCCTCAAATATATGTCCTGATTGTAAACAATGCTTTTATAGTCGGTTGCGACTGGACATTCTGCTTTGTTTTGGGGAAAATTAGATAACAGTAGTTTCTGTGTTCATAGTTATTTTTAGATATTTCAAGATTTTGGTGTAGTATTCATTACTATTGATTGTCTTTCTGTTTCAGTCGATTATGGTGCAAGGCTGTATTCACTGGATATAAGAGAGGTCTGAGAAATCAACACGAAAACACTGCCCTGTTACGAATTGAGGGAGTTTTTGATAATAAGAGCACAGAATTCTATATGGGAAAGAGATGTGCTTATGTATACAAAGCTAAAAGGTAGACTATGTTACAAAATTTTCTATAGCAATTTATGTTTGTTTTTCAATTTATTTATTAATTAAGATTTTCTGATTCAAACAATGTGTATCGTTTTGAATAGTATTTTAAAAGGCTTCAAATAATGAAATATAATTCTTTAGTATGATTTTCTTTTAGTATCTCTTTAATACTGAACTACTTTTGTTTAAATAATGAGAGGAACTGTTGCATCTACTCATTTGGTGTTTTGTGCTGGTAGTGGGATTATCGTCATAAATTTTATTCTTTATTCTTAGAAGGTAGAGAATTTACTTAGTGATTTTATAAATTCTTACGAATTGCGTTTGTTTCACATCATGGAGCATCTGTGGAAAATCAAATCACTTTATTTTTAGTTGAGATTTTTTTGCATTACCAAACTATACACACATGGCTGATTTCTTGGACCTATTAAGCTCTCTGCTGGCTCGAACTGGTTCCATCAGTCAGCCTCGTTAAAAACTGACATAAATATTGAACCTATTTTATTAATATTTTTGTAACAAGTATGTTCAACGGTTGGCAAGTTGTTGTTTAATTAAAGGATAAGAAAGGAAAATGTTTGTTAATAAATTCTGGGATAGGGACTTCGATGCGGTTTAACATTAGTCATTCGCTATTTTGAACATCTTGTTTTAATTGTTGTTCAGCAGAGAAGTTTGTGTAGTAGTTTTTTGTGCAGCTAACTGAAGATCGAGTAACTCTTCTTAGTCAGACTATTGTATGTTCATTGCTAAATCTTGATATTTTTTTCATTGTACTAAATCAGTTCTAAAGTCACAATCGAATATTTTGTGTGGCCTAAATTTGACTAATTTATGACTGTTCATTGCCAAATCTTGATATATTTTTATTGCTCTAAATTAGTTCTTAAGTAACAATCAAATATTCTGTGTGACATACATTCGAACCCAATTATGGATGTTCATTGCAAAATCTTGATGTAATTTTATTGCCCTATATTAGTTCTAAAGTCACAATCAAATATTTATTTAGTGTGACCTACATTTGAACTTATTCCTTTTGTTTAATGCTTGGTACAGGCAGGTGCTGCTACCAATATACTCTTTCAGTTTATTCTGCTAACCAATGATTGGACAGAATGCTTATGCTTTGTTCATTACCGGTATATTCTCTGTATTATTTTTCTGTCATATTGTATATTCATATTACACAGGAAAACCAGAACTCCTGGTGGCGATCCCAATAAAACAAGAGTAATATGGGGAAAAATAACACGATCACATGGTAACAGTGGAGTCGTCCGAGCAAAATTCAAGAGTAATCTCCCAGCCAAAGCAATTGGACATCGTATAAGAGTGGTGAGTTCTACTAGGTACTTTACATAGATTGCAAGTTACAACTAAGAAATTTCTATATGGTGACTGATGAATTCAAAGTCTCATTCCATTTGCTTTAGTTGATTTTATGGATTGCAAATGTCGAAAATTTATAAATCTACTGATTTGAGATTTTAGCAAAACCTAGTTTCAAGACCTTTAATTTCAACAGGTATGGTTACAGTAAGAAAGTAACACAAGCTTTCAAAAGTCTGGCGATGACCAGTTGTATTTTGCATCAGTCCAGGTCTACTGGTAGTTTACTGGGTTTAGTTTTCTGTATGGTTATTTATAATAATAAATTAAGAATATGACTGAAACTAACACATCTTTTGACTTTATAAACTCGTTTATTTTATTCAATTATAATATATGAAAATTTATTTTTCAGATGTTGTACCCATCGAGAGTGTGAAAGTCTAATATCCCTCTTGGGCATAAAATACATCAAGTATAAAAAAAATTGAATTGTTCTGATTAATTAGTGAAAAGGCATCTTAGGTCAGAATTGAAGTCGTAGTACTTGGTGGCAAGGTAATATTAGATTTATATGGTACTGCTAGTTTTATCCCTATGTGAGTGCGCTTACATACTGTGAGAGTAGTTAAATGCATATATGAGTAAGCAAGTTGGCCTATAATCTGAAAAATCCAGCTCGATAGTGACCGAAACAAATTGACGTCCTGAATACTGTACATCTTGGAACCCTCAATGCTATATCTTGTCTGTTTATCACATCGTTTTCCATTTAGTTTTCGTCATCCCCAATTCAGAATGTTGTTGGCATGCTTCTAGTGCAAAGGGTGGTTCTTGAGGATCATCCTGACAAGCATCGGAATCAAACTATGTGCTTCAGAGTCTCAATTCATTGAAAGTGTCTGTCACCCATATCTGTTTCAGTTTTAAAAATACAGGCGCTACCAATTGGTGCCGGTTTATGGTACATTCTAGACTTTATTTTACAACCCGATTTGATGACAAGATAGGAAAGGAATGCTGACTATTCAACCAAGTAGATTGGATAGTAAGTTGAATTCGAAAATCCGACGCCATGATGCCCGTTTCCAGTGGTGGGAAATTTCACCCATTTGTTCTGGGACAAGCCCTTTAAAAAAATGTGAAGGACTCCAATTTACATTGTCCTGTGTTAAATGCGGTCCTTAGACTTCGACAAATATGAGCACTAGTGTTTTAAAAAAGAATAAACGGCCCGAGAATTATAAACATTGGCTTGTTCATCACGGCTCGGCGGTGTGGCGTAAGCGTTATAAAGACGATCGCTAACTCGCCACTGATTACCCTGCGGGAGTTCGAATCCAGTAAATGGAGGATAATTATGTGCGAGAGGATTGCTTGACTCCTCGCCGCCGCTGGGCGGTTCATGTAATCGCTGGTCGGTCACAGCTTCCTCCACCATCAAGTCCATGCATCATCCGGTAACCAGACGAGAAACCGTGGTTCGCCATATGATTTAGCAGTCTTATCGGCTCTTCTCCCCCATGAGATAAATCCCGTCCATAGTTTGTTCGTCGTCTGGCGTGTGCTTATTTTCGATTGTTTATATACCGGTAAGAACTTGGGTGAGCACTACTCTGACAAAAATAATGATATGTCGAATGTAATAGGGTCCAGGGATTGGCTTCCAGCGATACATATCTCCATGTACTACAAATTCAAAAAGGATTGGTTCTTCCGCTTCAAACAAACCGTTTTTTTTTCACACAACAACAATTTTGTTACACGATTTGTAGTATACTCCCGTAAATATATACTACTACGATACTTCGCATCGATAGGCTATTATTCGTCAAGCTAATAACCAAATTGCATAAGTCATTTTGAGCAGTTTTGAGAAAAAGTGAGTCTAAATCTGACACACTGTGGGTTTTAATCATGTCATCTATAAGAATATAATAAAACAAAGTTTGTGGTAATATTTAATAATGTCGAGGTGTTAGTGTGCCCTGAATTATATAGATGCCCGCTTACAATTTTCCTTTCATTTGTGGAGAAAGAATAAGGTTTTTCCTAATATCGAATGTAGATAAATAGAGGTACTTGTACGTCACGTCTTTGGCTAAACTCACTTTTACGTTGTACGTAGACCAGTGCTCTTTAACCGGGTATACGGTATCCCCAAGTGTATACCGAGCCATAAGTTGGGTATACGACTGATAAAGGGTATACAGCCTAAGTCAGGGATTCTAAACTCTAATATAATAAATTATAAAATATTCAAGCGGAGACAACAATGCAAACGCGGCCCGCTTGAAATATAAAATGTCATTTACGCAAGAACCGACGTGAGCACATTGTTACATCACAAATTATATAGATAATGCGACCAAGTGACTGGGTTGGTGATTTCGGCTGCCATGCACTCCGTTTGATTTACGTTGAACATTATTCCCGTTGACCCTAAAGCCGTCAGTCAATTTTATAACTTGCGGACACTAGTCTATTAGATTGCATGATGATATTGCAGCACAATATGTGCTTAAAATTCAATGTTTATTTAAGCCTTAAATAATTATTGGTATTTGTCAGGTATACAAAGTTGAAAAAATCTTTGAAAAATTGTAAAAGATATACCACGATAAAAAAAAAGGTTGAAGAACACTGGCGTAGACTAACGAAATTTAGCAAATATTAAATAGACATACAGACCCAGCTGAATCTTTATTTTTTATCCTCGTAATAACTTCATTCACAATAAGGATGTTTCTCAGAAATGAAGCAGTCATTTCGGACCTCCTGAAGTATGCGCACCAAGATGGCGCACAACCTGAACTCGGGTTGTGTACCAAGTTAGGGTTCAGGTTATGCGACATCTTGGTGCGCATACATTAGGAGTACCGTCATTTCAATGGACCTTTTCCCGACCTTTGAACCCCGGAAAATTCTTTCTATACTTTACTACCATTGCAAAATTTTCGGGGTTATTTTAAAAGTGCTTTTGCGAGTTGGCGCTTGTAAAATGTAGTATGTGTTTCAAACCATCATTACGATTCATCGCATACAACAATCTGTTTTATAAAAGTACCGGTAAAGAATTTTAGCCTAGTCCATCACAGCTATTTCTACACTAATTTTTATTACTGCAATTTAATTAAAACTCCTAGGAAGACAGAGTGATCATTAAATTATCTGATTTATATTTAAGTTTCCGAAACACAACTGAAAACTAACGAATAGAGTTCAAAAACGCGAGAACGAGGTAATGTTTACGACCACGCTTGAAAATCTGTCTGAGTGAGAAAAGGGTCTGAACGGATGCGAAAAGGGAGCATTGTTACGCCACTTTTTGCATCTTGCTGATTGGCCAATGTCACGAAGTAAACAAGGAAGTCGATGCTCGGGGAAGGGTCCATCCATGCTCATGGTAAAGTACAGGAAGAATTTTTCGCAGGTCAGAGGTCCATACGCATTGGTTAACATTGAGAAAGTTGCCAAATTGCGTATGTCACATTTCTTCTCTCAGAAAAACGTTTTATTATTCATTCAACAATAACAGGCTGGTGCGCAACATCACACAGATGGGTTTTAACGAGAAAACATAAATTCGTCGAAAATTACTGACGCAAATCGATTATTAACGTTTGTGTTACTTTTTTGCCAACAACGGTCACAGTAGCACACAGTAGCTTTTCAGCGATAAGTCACCAATAGCAGATTTTGTCGACAAATGGTGGAACTACTCTCAAAGCAATAATCTCATAGAAGTTTCGACATATTGGCGAAAAGCATTACTTTTATACTATTATAGTTTCAGAAATGTTCCTAGATATTGGCTGTAGCTATTCTAAGAAGTAAAAAAAGTCGAATGGAAATGGGAGAAAATAAAGCCAGAAATACCAATAAATAGTTTTCAACTGATGTTGTTCACCACACATGCTTCAAAATTGAAAGATTCGTCTGTTATTCAAGTGGATGGAGAAGTAACTTGATCACTGGGTGCGCTAGTGGAAAACGTTAGAGGAAATAAATCTTTCACCGTAGCGAACTGTAAACATTTAACCAAACATCACACTAGTGGTGTTCGCGATAAAATATCTTTTTAGTCAAATCATGCCTGTCGCCAGCAGCAAACACGAGGAAAAACGAATTTTTACCCAGTGGCCGACTATAAAAAGCATATATGCCGCAAAATCACAGTGATGGGGTTTCAGAGTTTTCACAGATTTTGTTTACAAGTTATTGATTTATTACTGATGACACGTTACATAGGCCTACGCGAAATGCCTATGCGTTGTTTTTCAAATGTCAACAATTTGTATTCATTACAGAACCCTTGCTTTCTTTGCCAAATTATTATTTCTCGTGTATATATAATAAATTTAAACGCTCAAATGAATTTGAATTTCCATTAAAATGTGTAATGTGCTATGCGTAATCTCCATCTTAATTTATCAAGTGGTAAGCGACAAATATATATATATATATTTATTTCAAAAAGCTGAAAGAAAATGAAACCAGCAGAAACGGTCTCAGAGCCAGGTTTAGGTTCTTTGGAAACTGTTCAATGTGGACGCTTGGTGTCACACTTGAGTACAAAACCTCACAATTCGAAAGTTTATAAACCTCGGTGATCTCATAGCCAGTGATATCGTTCCTACATAGATATATATATACGGGGCATGTACTTGATACGGGGAAAATTAGGTGGATACCTTCAGGTTGTTTCTTTTTACCTGAGATCATGCATCAGCTGGTCTTCAAGGGTATTTCATTCGTAAAGCATTTTTTTGTTATTTAAATGGAATCTTGTGGACCTGCTGCGGAATAATAACAAAAACGTATTTGCAGCTATAAACAACCGACGATACCCAGAAAACGCTATAATGGGCGTGTAAGAACAAAGCTAGTATAAAATGAGGAGAATAGCAAAAAATTTTGCGCCTATATTTAAGCGGTTTTCGGTATTTCTTTAATTTTGCACACCAAAATGTAATAGATGATGTTCAAATTTTATTAGCGTCTTGTTGGTGTTTGTTTAATCTCTTAGATATTTGAAAAGATGTCACAGAACACTTGAGCATATTCTAATTAAAATAATTCTAATATATAATAACAGAATGAATTTTTCACGGTAGGATACTAAAATGTGCTTATACGGGGAAAAGCTATTTTTCTTTTCGCATCAGCCTTTTTAAACTGTTATTTATCGTAAATGCACGTTAATAAGTAATTAAAACTACAAGATCATATTTGTAATTTTTGGAAATGGTGAGTTTTAATAATCAATTTATATCGTTGAGGTTGATTTTGGTTAAGAAATTTTGGACTGGTCGTAATGGCATCTGGCGATGTTGTGATTATGGGGAGCGGTAAATGACAAATTTTATACAACAGAGTCATCGTCGCCAAGGTAATGCGGAGTTTATCATTTAAAGCGCCCTGTGGTGTTGATGCGAATACTATATAATGCGTTAAAAAGAAACAAAAAAAAAATAATTTAATATTTTTGGTATAATTTATGGATTACTTTGACACTGGAAAATGGTTACAAATGCCAGTTCCACTAATAAACTCCTAATAAACAGTATTTGAAAGTCTCCATCAAATCGATATTTTCAGACTTCTTTGTTAATTACAACGACTTAGGGGCACTCTCGTGGTGTCTGTACCAGGTTATGGTTAGGCCATACTTTTATTCCGATTTTCCTTATTTTATTTCTATTACGAGTTCGGGGTCTGTCTGTGTTACCTAAATGAATATCAGTCAGTCCCTTTACCTAACCTGATTTAGAATAGGCAAACAAAATTAGTTACCTCCATATTGGTACACATACTTCTGGAGCGCCGACTTATGAAGTTAATTATTCTTCAGTATAACATTAAAATTTTTCGCTAATATTATTGCTGCTGCAATCTGTTTGGAGTTGGATAGCTTCATTTGAATATAGAACTTCCGAACAACAATTTCACTAATGAGCAACATTCTACTATTATTAATAAACTGGAAGTCAGGCCGCGCATAAATTCTAAGTTCGAAGTATTCGTAATTAAGCTTCATTAAATAATACCGAAGTTGTTGAACAACATCGGGATTTTCGACCAGGGAACGTAAACAAAGTCGCTATTTCATTCCGTTCATATTTTGCCAACATGAAGTCTTATTAATTTTAATTCTTTAATGACTGATGAATTATTATTAGAGAGTGTTTTGCAAATTTTACATGGTGTTTTTTACTTACTTATCGAGCAACGAATAACCTCTATTTATGTGACACTTCCAATTTCAAAATACAGATATTTAATTTCAGTTTAGACTATTTCACTCAGTTAAAGTAAAACTGTATGTAAGAATAAATCTGAACCCAAACCCATTAATTAATTATTCAAATTGTCAAAGGTTTACATGAAATGCTAATATATTGATGTTTTCATTAACAGTCGACATTTAATAATAAGGCATGAAATCGAAAATGGAGTACAAACTCGTATGACTGTTTTATATACTTTCGTTTTATCTGCTTTCCATGTAGTTGTGTAAATGTGGTATAAATAAAAATAATAATTGACACTATTATTGAAACCACACATTGGAATTTCGTCTGTGAATAATGCTATAAAGGGTACAGATTGCTGCTATTCTCAAAGAACAAATTGCGCACAAGACGGTTTCCGTGGGTATAGATGAATCATCACAATTGTTGAAAGTTGTTTTCGTATTCGCGAAAGATTTGGTTGGTTGTTGATTTAATGACGTCAGCAGGCGGGGCATTTTTCCTCACACTGTCCCAAAGCCACAGTTCACAAATTTCCTGTATTTCAGCTCCGGCGGAAGTTTTTAATATCCGTATAACTTGAAGATGAACCATTGTATCTTCTACTCTTGAAGTAATATCCAATTAACCAAGCAAGTGTACAACGTGTTAAGAACGAGTCGCGGTATCCTTGATCACTATTCCTGTTTGATGATTCATAATTATGATATCACATAGTCGTCTTCGCTACACAATTCCGTAAAGGGTATATGTACGGTATTTTGCTATACACGTTCGATATGTGATACTGTAGATTTTTAAAGCATAGGTTTCTTTCAGATTTGCGATCCACGCGTACGAATTGACAACTTTTTTCAGGCAGTCATCACCGGAATGTCTGTGGAATGCCATTCCAGACAAAACTGATTCACGTGGCTCTACCCTTTTTTGACAAAAATCGCGTCTGAACCTGCGATGAACAAAACTAGGTATACCTTCGAAATAGATGATACCAGCACAGGAAAGATTCATTTTAAACGTAGTGGAATAAACTTCATTGTTGCGTTATTTAATTTTAATGAAGAATAGGTCCTATGTTAGATTGGAATATTTGAAGTCATGTGTCATCAGCGCAGACTTGCTTTTCGATTTCGAGTGATTCGCTAGGAGTTTTATGAAATCAGTCACTATCAGAAAGGATCAATCACTATCAATGTTTATCGAATGCATCGGCAACTCTCAGTAGCAAATGAAAATCAGAGAAGATTCTCCGCCTGGTGCCTATGTGGTGACATCGAACGTGATGGCAAGAAAGTATACCAAGCCTTCTGAAGTGATTGATGCTTGTATGGATGTGCTTAGAGAAGAAGGCGGAGGTGAGTTAACTTTATTAAAATAATAATGATTTGGAGAATATGAAAAACGGTTGACAATATCCTCTCTGCTGTTGCCTTGCACGTTTTTCTTATATTCCAGCAACACGGATACAAACCAAAATGGCGAATCTTTCGCAAAAGTTTAGCACTGGGTTCAAAATGTAAGGTTCATATATATGTAATAATAAAAAGTGCTAACTTACTAGAATTAGTAGAATTATTCTATAATTATATGTTGAAACATAGCATGACGACTTTGTAACATATCAACTATAATTGTTTCAAAATAGTTTGATGGATAAACTTCGTCTTTCAACGACTTCAATATAAATCATCTGTCAATCTTAGTTTAGTTATTGTTTAAATCTAGTCTAGCGTATTTTTAATGAACATACGACCATTGAAATTCGAAAAGTACATTCAGTAGTAAATCTGAATAGATATAACAGCGAAATTTAACTGATAGACTAATACAGACATGTAAAAGCGCTTGTCAATTTTCCTAACCGCCATTTTGTTTGCCCGAGGCCAATGTTAATCGGAAATCAATGAAGAAACTGTCAATGTCAGTGTACTTTTAGGTAACGCCGAACAAAGCCTTTTTATAAACTGTATGAATTAAGGTAATAACCACGTGCAGATAGGCTTTTCCAATACCGCGATGATGAAATCACCGTTTCGTAAGCACACGCGAACTGAAAATGCCCAACAGACATGACCTGAATGAAATCATCAGTGTACCGAGCTCGTCGATTAGCTTTTTATTCATACTTCTTATGAATATGGGCTTACGAAATGAAAGGTTGCATTCATTTGTTGATCCTGTCCGCGATAACATATTCTGAAAAGACATGTTGTATTTATAATCATGCCTGAATCATTCGAATTATACTTGACACGTTATCCTGACCGTAAAAACAAAAATGTCCCGAGATACCAATCTCTTCTCTAGTCAATTAAATTTAGTCTATTCTTAACTTGGGGCATGGTAATAATAAACTAAGGACACAAGAGTTATGCTAGCTGATGGCCCTTCGAAGATAATTACAAAAGCTGTTATAGTATGATATTGTTGCCCGTGGTGTGTCTTTGAGTTCCAAATACAATCCGTAATAGTAAATATTGCTCTAGGCACGATTCAATCGAGAGTCATTTTTTTGCTATCAAACATGATCGAATCTTAAATCATATTTTATTAATGTTTTAGTCTTACTTTACGACTATGTTCCGACTGAATCGTTTTGTACGATAATTTAAAAATAACTAGAAAGCAATACTCAAATATATTGACACAAAAGTTAGAAAAAATTATCCAAATGTTAAGAGAATTCTATCGAAGGTCCTATGAAGGTGTGTACCGAATATCATAGAAAGGTGTTTCCGTGAGTTAGAAAAAAAAACAATATTTGGGGTGAAATATTGAGGTCCATCGAGAAAATTGAAGTATAAAAATAACAGATTTCTAGGGACTTCGACCATTTCCTGTTCCAAAAACAGTCCTCAAAATATTTGAGTGCTGAAAGATATCTTCGACATCCAATAAATATATCCACATTAGAAAGATGCCTAAAGTCGCCCAACTCTCGCAGAATAAGTAATGAAATTACATATTTATTACATTGTTCAATTCAGGATAAGCTTTTTGTATATTGTGTGCAATGTTTTTCAAATCAGGTTTTGAATTTTAAGATTTTATTTCATATCACACATACATACAATACTAATCATATCATATTTTAATGCCTTTGACCCGACGATGATTTATCCTTCGATAGATTATTTTTGAATTCCAAGTAAAACACTTTTTTGCAAAAACCAATACAGCGCTTAATCACGGATCACGAATTAATGCAAGTAATAATGCGGCATAACAGAAAAGGTCATTGACAACATAGCATGGATATTCAACATAATCTTTATCATTATTGAATAGTTTGTCTTTTACTGCATAACATATGACGATAAAATAATAAACTAAAAATGAATACATCGGCATATTCAGTTTTACACCCGATGAACACTCATATTGTGCCTTAAGCTTCTAGTTTACCAACTCTAATTTTATCATTGTCCGAAGGAATGAATACTGGTCGGATCATATAAATTTTGTTTACTATAGTTGGTCTGAATATATCTAAGTATTTAGAAATAAAAGTATGTGGCTCGAAACTTGGACATCTTTGCGTTGCCATTCCGTATATGTCCCGTCCCGTAAGTGCGCGCTTATCTTATATAAATCATTGATATGTCGTTGGATTGATTACTGTTGTCATATTTGTGTTGGTGCTCTTGTTACCGTATTGTACCGAGGTTAAAAAAAAATCAAATATGATTGGCTCCAAATCGTCGACCGTACTGTAAACTCGATCCCATCGACAAAATGCTGCGTAACTTGGCTCAGAGATCACCTTCTTTTTTTATGGATGAAGTGTACACAGACGCTATCCGAATAATATAACACCCTCATGTATACACAATTTGATTGAAATTTGGTCAGTTTCAATATAAAATGTTGCCGAACTTATGATGCGAGAGGTGGAAACGCCAACAGTTTACGTCCGTGAGTCTTTTTGATCAAACTACCATAATCTTTCAGGACATTCGTTCATATTTCCAATTTATTTTTTCAATATAATGCTCATTTCTTGTAAAATCCAGTAAATTGACACCAAAATTAAACAATAGCAGCAAGATTGCTGTTTTTCAAGTGAATGAATTTTAATGTACAAATCTGAGAAACAGAAAATATATCAGATTTCCACCTGCGTGAGTGTAAACTCTAATCTAGTCATGATATCATCGCAAGCAAAACTGGTTTGATGGGTATTTTATAATTTACGTTACCTTACACTGCTGAGATATTTCGCAAGTAGATTGCTTTTCCTCTACAAATAACGAATTCAAAAGTAATTTGAGCATTAATTGCCATAATCCAGTCATTCAGATTCGACATCCACGAAAGATAGATGAAAAAAAGATGGCTCACAGAGCTCTTCAGTCTAATCTTTGGCCATCCTAATTAAACGAAAACACATGCGAAGATTTGTAAGTGGGTTCGTGCTCTGGAAACAAATACCAAAAATACAAACAATTTTAGGAACTTGTTCCCAAACAATTTGTATTCTCGGAAGATGCTGATGTAAACCAACCAATCAAGTAGGTTTGCCATCCTCACCATACCTACTCAATTCTTTTTTGTTAGTAAGGGTAAGGGATTAACGTCGACTTATACGATAAATATTTTAAAACTGTACTCGACCCCTACCTAATCATATTTTAATTTATAAGAAGCGGAGTTCCGATGCACATTTTAAACATTCAATCCATAAAAAATGTTAGACATGACTGATGTGATTAGGCTTTGATGCTAACATCAAAAGATATTGAAGACAAAACTCTTGTTATAAGTCTTTTTTTTTTTTTTTTGTGGAAATGTATATTTTGAGTGATCTAACGACAGCAATTAAAGTAAAACAATTATTCATCCTACTATTCATCTTTATAATATATAGAAACAGTCCTTATTTCAAATTCCATGCTGTAGCAGAGGGTTGTTTGGAATTGACTGAATTTCAATAATGCCTCGTTCGGGGCAGGTTATCTCCAATAAAGTTAGCATATCAACATATTAGGAGAAAATAAGAAACCTTATAGATTCGAATTTATCATGACAGAATAGTAGCAGCACGTTTTGAACTGGCCATATATAATACTCAACAAAGCGTATTTTTCGGTAATTTTAGGAAAAATATATATAAATCATAGTTAAAATTGGTTTTGTATTGTTATAAGTCATGGGAAAAAATAGTCAAAATGAAGCAATATGCCCATGTACTTGTGGTAATAAATCTAACGTTAATATATTTTAGATATATCGATATATTGGTTATCTTTAACTCCTAACTTCGAACGTTTGAATACTCCATTAATCATTTATATTCATTCCGTATTTACTGTACTTAAAAAAGAAATGTTCATCAACAGTGCTGTACTAAGTATTAAGTAGAACGGATGTCTGAGGGTTCCTCAAAGAGTTCATATTTAAACAAATCACATGGCGCATATTATGTATATAGTAAACATATTTAAGTGATAAATAAACATATATTATTCTTAATCGGGTTTAATTGACATGCAATAAGTATCATTAGTAAGTATTCTTTGGTATTACAGCGATTTCATACTATTTTGAATTCGAAAGTATAATGTCTTAACAATTTTTGCGTTTCGTAATGTACTAATTATATCTTTGATATCATTGAGCTCCGAAACTATATACATGTTTCTTATTATTAATGCTACGACCAATCTCTTTATGCTCCAGACAACAGTGCCATGCGTTCCATTGACGAAATGGCTCCTTGTTTTTTGTATACTTTATAAAACATAGGATCAAAATTTCGTGTTTTCTCTATATTTTTCATTTTATTTCACTTTTCTGTTCCTATTATGTATATCAAAAGCACACGTTCTCCCGTAAATGTTAACTAAGACCCCTGGCAGTCTACCAACCTCCAGTTGGGAACCACTGATTTGGTCCATAGTTGGTTCTAAAGTATATATGTGTAAATTACAAAACGTATTGTTCAGTGTCCAGGATTCTATTCTGGAGAAATTTTATACAAATACATCGGTATCACACTCTTTTTTTACATTGACGTATTGACAATAAAGTTGATTGTTGTGATTCTGAATGTTATCAACAAAATTTGTTCCCTCTTCCTTGACTAATCTGATATATTTTTGCATCGTGTTGTGAGATTATTTTATAATTTTATATTTAACCTGTCCAAATGAGAGTAAGGCATAGTTGCCAATCTTCCGCGTACCTCTGTTCAGTGTAACGAAAAAGGTAATTCTGATTCACTCGGGGTCGATTTATGTCGCGATAATCATCATTAAATAATTAAAGGGGCAAATGCTATATATAAGCTACATACAACGATGATTTATGAATGCTTCGGTAGAGTTTAAAACAAAAAAGATTATCAACATTTTCTATGGTTTTGTATATTCCAAAACATATACTACTTTAAAAGTTATAAAAAGTTTTTGAATCAACACGGTCTCACTCAAAATAACCCCAAATTGATAGAAGACGGGATTCACGTGACAGAAAGTTGACTGTATTCCCTTCAAAACGTGGCAAATACGAATATTAACAGTATTCATTTAACCCAATATTGTAAGTAATTTTGGCCATCGATTGCCAAATCTCATTTTATTTATTTGCAGATATATTTCTAATACTCTGATAAATCTTTTCAACGTTGGTTTTAACTTAAAGCATATCTGGCAATATTGTATTAATTCGCTATATATATATTTTTCGTTGTTAGTAAATAAGATATTTGTTCATGAATTTAAGATCGCTAATTTAATGACGTTGGCGACAATTCGTCCTCTACTCACCCATTTCATTAACCTCTTTCTGTACTCCACCCATTAAAAGCTGTTATAGAATCCGGTACTAGTTTTTGGATTTGCAATTTAAATGTCATGACCAATATGAAATATGCTACCTCTGACTAATTAAATTGAGCATACGGACGTAGGCAGGAAGTCCTCGCTTAGTTTCAAGAAAATTGGAACTTTATTTGAAATAACGTGATCGTCCATTTGGCATAGATAAGCTTCAAATACCTCTTCAATGACTGAGTTGATCCATTTTATTTTCATAATTAGTTCTATTGTATTTTTACCATAATGGAGATTAACATCGATTATATTTTTGCCATTTTACTGAGTAATAATGTTTCATAGTCATCGACAATAATGACCAAGGTTCTGTAAACCTGGAGCTTTCATATATATATCAGTTATTACACAATTAAAAATTACACCGAGTCGTATAAATATATCTGTAGCGGGGCGCTTTCCTCCGCCATTTTATCGTCTCCGATAAAACGAGAGATGTTTGTGGTAAAGAGGGACCCCCCAAAGCTGCACCGAAATGGCCAGGTTTGTGACATAACTTAATCACCGTAATTACAATTCTCTCCTAATTATTTCATGGCTAAGTAATTCCCCATCGAACTTATCTCGTGTTTACTCAAGACAAATGAATATATTTTTGCTAAAAGAATTCGTGTTTAATATGTTGTGCGTAACGAAACAAAATGGCGAGATTTTAGCTAGTTCTTCTCAAGTACAAATCGGAGATAATAAACGATATTATACTGAAGTATCGATTTTGTGTAGCAGGCGGTACATAAATAGTTGTCGACTGTACGTAACGTAAACTGTATATTTGGGTGGTTATCATCCAATTTGACGATTTTTGTTTGATATCATAAATGCAAACAAATATATATCAGTAAGGTTCGAATCCCATGGGAGATGATAAAAAAATTCCGACAAGAGCCAGTGGTGGGTTCTGTATCTGATGTTCGCTGAATAAACCAGAGAGTATGCAAATTTTTCGTTAATAGACATTCTGAACGCCAAACCAACGCGTGAACCCAAGAGTTAGTTTTCAAGATATAGGGTATAAACTGGGAATTCCTTTTTGAGATAGTGGTATTTCATAAAATACTGATAATTTCATAGCTTACTTAACCTTATATTTTTTGCAGATAATTGTATATTGCAGACGGAGAGCCCAAGGGCAACCACACAAAGGGGTGAGTCCGTTGATTTGCCTCTTTCGCCCACAATGGGAGAATTTGATCCTGACTTGTTGCACCCATTTTATCCTGATTGCGAAAAAATTGCGGACAGGACAATGGGGCAAGGAATTTCCAGCGTAAACTTGAGTGGAGATCCATTTTCACCAGAAATGCTGTCTCCTTCCAGTAACCCCAGCTTCAGTGGGAGGAACGATTCATCAATGTCCATGCGGTACCCTCGGCAATGCGAGGAAAGAGTCGCAGAAAATATTGGATTAAATTGTGATATAGTAACAGGATCGAATGAACAATCTGGTTTCACTGTTCGGAGGCATTCACAACACGCCCACGTTGGCAGAACAGGAAGGCGTTTCCTGTCTTCCGAAACAATAGGTTCCAGCTCGAGTTGCAGTCATAACTATATAGCAAATGTACACAAGCAGGGAGCTGTACTTGTGGACCATAACCTCGATGACGCGAGACGAGAGAATAGCGCCGTATTTTCGGCTTCCGCTAAAACGGGCGAAGAAGATCGACGAACTCTCAGAGACAATAGTTCGTCGACATTCGAGAGTGTGTTGAAAAGTGTCGTATCGTCTGGCGTTTCTTGTGAGTTAGATACGGCCATATCTGCAACTCGTTCGCGTCGAGGAAGCGCTAATATTCAGTCAAGTGATATATTTACTAACAAAATATCACCAAAAAGCCGTATATCAAACTATTCTTCTTGTCGATTGAACGTGCCACATGACGAATTTTTATCCTGTGATATAAGCGTAGACGAGAAAGTGTCTAATCAGCGCGTCGATGCGAGCCTACCGATGACAAAGAATTACGCATCGCATAAATCTAGCGCGTGTTTGTTAGAAGAAGAGTGGAAGCGGAAGTCAGAATATGGCAGTGCTGATCCAGCAATGCACGAAGCCAGTTTCGGACAAGCGAGTGACGTACAGTCGTTGATTTATTCAGCTAATATCGGTAAAACTTACTCAGCCTCGGGCAGTATATCAGATAGAATTGTTGGCACAACTGGAAAGGTTCGTTTTGACTCAGCATCTAATCGGGCAAGCAGACTACCTGTTGGGACGAAAATAAACTTAAGTCATGACGATAGAAGTACTGCTGCCTCCTACGATGTTGGCACATCATATTTGCCTGTTCAGACACTGACGCGTAAGGCCAATTGTGCACAAGGTGCTGGGCGGGAAAGGCAAGGTTTAGACAGGCCCAGTGAAAAAATTGCCGTAAGCAGTTCTTATTCCAATGCCCATGATTCCTCTGGGGAAGACAATAATAAACCTGTTAATTTATGTTTACTTCAGGAAAAACGTGAATATCAGTTAGGCCAAAAACAGTTTCCTTCTAAAGATACGAGAAATAGAGAATTCCGCAAATACACTAAATCTTTTTCAATTAGACCAAGACCTTACCAACATTCCAAACGATTAAACGAAAGTCAGTGTACTGTAGGCGCTGTTTCTCCAGATAAAAATCAAATATTCGATTTGGGATGCATCGACGATAAGTCAGACTGGAATAGAAAGGCAGGAATTTGTGACATGGGAGTAGAAAACAGAACTAATCTGGGAACCTATAACAAAGAACCATTCTTAGCTGGATTTGGACAAAGAAGTACGGCGGATTCAAATTTATCTTCACTATTTTCAACGAGCGGGTCGTCCCATATGATGGTACAGGACGAAGCTAAAACATACGCTGTTTTAAGTGGTCGTCACAACGAAGATCTCATGAATCCACACTCATTGCCAACAAAGGGGTCGTCGCAACAACAGCAATCTCTTTACCAGCAGTCACGCATTTCGCACTCCATCATAAATTATGCTGGCCCAGGTCACAGTCCCGATCTGAGGGCGACCGCAATGAGTCCTTCTCCTCCAGTACGCGACCATAGAGCGACTCCATCATCATCTCTTCCGGGCATCTTACCTTCGTCAACAGTGTTTTCAAATATTTTAGTTGGCCGTCAACAGCATATTTCTGTTAGTCCTTCCCGGCGAGAGGAGTATCATGCACACGATTCATTCCAAAGACATTACGAACATTTGTCCAACCCCTTTGAACCCGGAATTTCAGAATCTCGTCATTCTTTCCAGCCTCGCCATCCCTTATCACTTGATCACCATGCTGGAACTTCAACCTTCTCCCCTGTTCAAATATCCCCACAGGATCATCAACAAGTATTCTCATCTCATTCTGCATCGATAATGCCATATGGCGGTTCTCTTCAAATCGCCCAACACCAAGGATATCTGAAGCCTCCACCCGTGCATTTGGACGATGTGAGTTTTTTTTAATGTTTTCTAAGGTAAACACCACAAACATTGATTCACATAGCACAAAAACTAATTGCTGTCATATGAATTGCAATTTCATAGGTATTACCTAATTTATGGGGATCTCACCAAGTTGCTATACTAACTAATATTGTGGTGTTTAGTTTTATTTCATGTTTAGTTCGAGCGAGTTATATTCAGTTAACCTAGTATGGCACAAAAACGCGAGCAAAATTGTGTTCAGCGCCAATACAATTACGCATTAATTACAGTCAAATTCACGATTGTCTGTTCCAGTCAATAGGCGACGGCAATTTCTCCCCAGTAGATAGTTTTTCGTAGGATTTGTAGTGTCTGAAAATAATCTCTATTAATTCACTTTTATTAATAAATACAAGTAAAAGTTATGGAATGAGACTTTATAATTAGACTCGTGTCGATATTAAAAATGCATAAAATGAAATTCATAATGACGATAGGCAATACAAACACTTTCCATCGAGGACCTTACTCAAGCGTGACATAAACAACCTATTTTACTCGATCTTCGACAAATCACTTGTTTACCAAACGCTTTGGTGATATCGGAATCAAACTTCGGTGACATCGAGTGGATCCAGTTATTTGAGAAGTATAACGAATGTGATTCATCGGTGTATAATAAAAGGAACAAACAACGCTGTTTTGATTCTAACCACACGTCAATGATTAAATAACCCCCTTACCTCGACGAAACTCGGTCACAGTAATTCACGAAAAGTGGTGCATATGATATAATAATAATAAGCGATCGGATTATTTCTCACGTAGAGATACCATGATATATCCAAAGATTTAATCAGGGTAGACTTGCTGATGACACAGAATTTGGCAAAAACAAGAATTAGCCATATATTTCAAACGTTGTTGTTTTTGTCAAGTTCACAATCATGACGATTATAGTTAAGCTTATATTTCTCCCCCGGCTACAATAACACTTCTCGCCGTCGGCAACCTGCGGATAGTAATTGACGTTTTGAAGCGCCTACCAAGCCTTGAAGATTTCCATTTCCACGATTTCTTATTGGAATTAAAATGAGTTCGAATAAAATGGGTTAACACACTTACAATTGAGCCTTGACGACGACAATTTTATAGCGATCGAAAACAATTTTCCTACCATTGTATGAGAGTATTAAACCCGTGGAAACAAAAAATAAATTTTGATTTGTTTTCGTAAAAGAACAATTTTTGTTCGGCATACAAAAGTAATGCTGTCATCTGATATCAACATATGTGTGCCAACGGGTATACTCACCTTTGTTATTGTCAGCGCATCAAGAGCTCATTCATAGCTCGTGTTGTTTCAATTATGGTTTCGAGTTCGACGGGGTTCTTTATTTCTAATTTATATTTCAAATTTGCATGACTATGGAATGAAGTCAGAGATTTAATAAGATTGAATATAAATTCGAATAATATGACATCATAATGTGTCATTTTGCGCTTGTATGGAAGCGCTTTTTGGACGTACAAAATTGATAGGCTGAATTTATCTCGGAAGCTGCTATTAATGTAAATCGAAACAATATGTTGTGGTGAAATGACATAATACGAAAAGTTTTTGCCTGAGAGATATTTCGCAATCAATAGTAACCTTTTCTCATTGTGTTAATATGTTATAGTTTCCTATATAATATTCAAATTTCTAATCCAATATCAGCTGGAAATATTCAATCAGTTAACCCGATTATATGCAAGCATTTCATTTTCACTCTCTGTTGACCTATCCCCTCTAAATGAAGGAAGAGGATGGCCATACTATTTCCGGGAAGTATATCAAAAGCAAGCGCCTGTGATAGATATATCGCATCGATACCATATGGGGAGATACCCGATTAGTATTACACTTCAGTATTTTCGTTATAGAGGCGATGCATTTCATAAATATATATACTGTATGTAAAATATAGCATAGCAACAAAAAAATGAAATACGAGCTTCGTGGTGAATGCGTTGTTTTGTGGATAGCATAGTTTTCGCAAATATTTTCATTTGTTTCAGTAGGTTACTCAAATTGAATAGACACCGTGCATATCCTTATTTTGGAAATCACCGGCACTGACATGCTTGTTTGGTGACTAATCTATGGCTTGCAGGCTTCTCATCCTTCCGATCCATTCCTATCGCTGACTATTAAACAATAGAATCGCCATACACCAATGTATATAACTACGTCTCATGCGCTCGGATATTTGCATACTTCGCACATATATTATTGTATTTATATAAGCCATGAATACTTTATAGTATTCAGAACAATTTATGGAAAAATGATTCAAACGTGGCTTGCTGATAGATTTTTTATAAAAATATACACTACCAACGTTTTTCTCATTCTTTTTTATGATGTGTATTTCATACCTACACTCCAAGAAGGGCTCATGACAAGCACTGTTTCATAATGGGCTAATATCTCTGCAAATACGTAACCATTCCGCATCGGCATTGCCTGCAGTTGCAAAATGTGCAAGTTTCAGTGCTTTTTTGCCACTCCACTTTTAGGCTTACTGATAGTTTAATAAAACTTATGTGGGATTTTCTACCAAGAAATGTACTTATAAAGTGGAACCAAGAATGATTGAGTTAATGCTCACAATCACAAAGATTCACAAGATTTTCAACACACTAACATATGTAATTACTTTCATTATATTCAACAATTATGGTTTTAGATGTCTGACGAAGAACGTGAGCGGATGCGAGTAAAAAGAGAACGAAATAGAGTTGCCGCAGCCAAATGCAGAAACAGGAGAAGAGAGTTGCTTGAACGTTTGGAAAAGGTAAACAAACGCATTGCTTTTTCATTCAGCTTAATAGTACTGTGAATAAAGCATTGATTTGATTTCATTAATAGGTCAGTATTTAAATCGTAAGATTACTTCAATTTTCTATCGTGCCCGATTTTAAGATATCGCTGAAACATTCAAAAAGTCCATTTTCCGTTGTTTTGCTTTATTCGATCCAAATCCATTAAACGGCACCTGAAACTGTTATTTAATCTTAACTAATCGTACGAAAATTAGAAACAGTGATATTTAATATATGGTCGCAAGAATGAAAAACAACATTTCATGATGATTCATAGGCCAGTTTTAATCTCAAGAAATAATGATGCTTGAAGCTATTCATGCCAGATATTTATGACATGATATACGCATTCATGTATTCATGTATCACGAATATACCACACGAACGATATAACGTAAAAATAAACAGGTGGTTAAAATAATGAGAAAATTAAATAGTATAATTTAAAAATAAATAAATTTATAGATTAAAATTTACGGTGGGTGATGCAAGATCTGGAATTTTCTGTGTTGTGATTGACTCAGCGATGTCCAAAACGAATCGAATATTCGATTTCATTCGAAATTCATTATAATCAATTTCGGGAATGATTCAGAATATTTTTATTAAGAATTTGAGAATTTTAAGCGTCAAAAAAGCGGATCAAAACATACGATATCTCAAGTGAAAACAACACAGGGGAAACCTATGCCTTTATGTTTGTGTCGTTTTTATTGTGTTTAGCATGAAGATTTAGTGATTTATGTAATTTTCCACGTGAACTTGCTTCCAATTTAGATTGTATTCGAAAATATATTTTTCAGAATGTATTCGGAATAGTGAAATATTTGGGCTTGGCTATCCAAGAATCGCATTAGTATCAATAGCGTACCCATAACTAAAGTAGGCCTTTATATACGGAAGAGTTGCATTGTTGTCCTGCACCAAATGCATACAAAAGTATCCGTCAATTATTTCTTTGAATGTAGTTGCCTAATCCAATGCAGTTCATTAGGTCCTTTTCTCTTCGATTGGTAGCAACTACTCGCATTTCGTTCTCTATTATGTCCCATATACTTTGCTATAAATTTATGCGCCTTACGTGGGAATGGTACAAATTTGCTAATATATAAATTAATTGCAACAGAAACTAAATTAATTACGGAACCGAATATGAAAATTGAGTTACGGCAGATACTACTCTATGTCGTCAAAAATTTTTTCAAGATGATTTAATGCAAAGATTGTTATCCCACTTGAATAGATATGCTACTGCTATTAGAGACTGGCAATATAGGTTTTCGAAACACACTTTTAAGCAAATTAGTCAAATTATCAACACTGATTCGAAACCCATTTGAATTATGGATTTTCGATACTCAACCTTTCAGCATAACATTCATTCATATTTTGAAATCTGGAATGAGTTCCTAATGCAAGAGTGAACTTAATAATATGCAGGATGTGCGTCATGAATGAGGGACATGGTCGTTGAGACAAATGGGAGTTTGCTCAATTCGGGTTCCGAAATCAGCTTGTCTTACTGTTTGCTCGTACCTTGCGCTACCATTATAGAATGACAAATGTTGTGCTTAGCATATCTTGCAAGTCTCAAATTCGAATTTTGATTGACGACTTATTTACTATGTAAGTCAAAATATCGTATTAGGGGTATATTTTTGATACATTTGGGGAAAAATGGTTTTGTAATTTCAGTCTTATTGAGCATAGTGAAACTATGCTTCTGAAGTCTTTGTTTCCATTTTTGCAAATCAAATGACTCGTTTCTTCTGTGCGAGAATACCTTTGAACTAAGCAAACGTGTAACAATACGGAAACAATTCTTCTTGTCGGCCATTGCCGCCCGCCATTTATTATGACGTCATAAAAGTTAAATATATCTCTGAAGTGTATTCGGTTGGATTATGTCACCACCTTTAGACGATTTTTGATTTTAACAAACACCCGTGTTGTGAGGTTGTTCGCTTTCGAACCGCTTTGGAAAAGCGTTTGGCCACCCAAGTGTGATGCGCCGTTGTTTCATCCTCGCCAGAACTCGGTTTCCTACCGACGAACACAACGAGCTTTGAAGCTGGGCGGGGAATACCAATGTTATGAGAAAATTCCTTTTGTCCACGAAAACACAGTCCGTTTCTTAACCCTTAGTCATTCACGACACAATTAACGACACATAAGAACACTTCACATCTCGTCAAAACGACAGGGAAAATGTGGGATGCTCAGACGACCTGTACTGTTGTTTTTAGACTGTGAAACGTTTTCTAACTCTGTAACAGCATATGTTGAAAGGACCACACAAGACCTCGTTTTAAAAAGTAGAAGACACTTACATCGACGCGATTGTGATGATTTCATTCGAAAATATAAGATAACAACCTGTAATTTGTGGCCCTATCAATTTCATGTAGTCGTTTCAAAGGAATTCATTCTTTGCATCTCGAAACTTTGTGACGGTAAAGAACTTCAACATTACTATTAATGCTTATATTCATGGTTTCTATGTAACTACGCAAATTAGGCGTTCCAATTTCACACCGTCTCCAAACAATCCATGGTATTTCGAATAATACTTTATTATTTACAAGTCCATAATATATGGTATGTTGTAAAAGTGTTTCAAGCTTTTCGATTTCCCATTATTCACTGAATGCCTCACGCAGAGGCACGTGAACTTTAATTCTACCTCGTTTCTGGAGCTGAATTTCTTTCTGATTTCATGATGATGAAATTTTTAATTTTTATTATTTTTTTAACAAACGTACTGAGGTTTTGTCAAGGTTAAATAATGTCGTTATACGCACTCGAATTATAGGGATTCTGTGACATTGTAAGACACATTTCGAACGAAATTGTTATTTTTATGCATAATGTAATTGACTGAATTTGCAATAGATTCCACACGATAAGGCTTGTAGTTAGCCTATAGATATTTGCAATAAATGGTGATGTTTCGCGGAAACAGAGGTATTCTCAAAAATACCGATTTACAGCCTCTTAGATTTTTTGTTCTTAATTAATTCGGTATAGTTGCCGACTTTTGATACGATACAACCTCCTTTACTTATTTTAGAAATCTTCATTCCTAATTTACTACCCACAAAACTTTGGAGATTATTTGAGAATGATACGGGCGACTCGCACTTAGGCTTTTGTACGGTTAAAACAGTTTATAATGTGCCCATAAGTACGTTTTAAATAATACAAAATAAGTCAAAAATATTAATAATATAACAAGCACATTCAATGCAGAATGTCATCCCCTATCTCCTATAATAATAAAAACCCTCCCGGGGGAGTACTCCCTTCAAAGTTGGGAAACGGTGGTCCACACCATAACAAAGATAATGATATGTATGACTGTAAACGCTCTTATTTTTAGATAACTTAACTTATTCGAGGTACCTATTTTAGGACATGTACAGAAAGAGTTAGGATCCATGTTACTCCTAAATAATCACGCAAATATAAGTCAACCAAATAACGATAATTTACCTCATCGCGAAAAATATGTAAAGAATGTTGGGAATGGTCTTGACGGTGCGTTTAATAACCGTGTAAGTACCGTGAATGCTAATAATCGAAGTTAGGAAAAATGACTTCCTTCGAATATACTATTTAATTTGCGGTCAAAACTACATGATAACGAGACGCCAATGTCATCGTTACGCTTTCGGGTCAATAGAAGTTTCTTCAATGCGATATGGGAGAAATTCCGAAATGTCGCATCACCTCCTTGCCGATCGATATCGCTTAGCTGAACTGCGTCTTGGCCGGTGTGCATGTTCGGAGTGCAAGCTATTACGAAATTGACATTTTCGTAGCAGGTCAGCTTCATTGGGCTTATGTAAATTCCATCTTCTGTGATATATCGTAAGTGAAATTCGAAATTGATTGCGTGGGTGAGGTTTGATATTTCAAATGTCGAAAATGATAACCATCTGATTGCGAAGTCAGGTCATGTGCAATATTACTCTTCAGAAAGCCGTGAAATTTGGCAGGCATTGCAGAGCACGACCGCCCTCATTAGTGGTTGCCATTATGTATAAATTATACTCAAAACGTATATCCCTGCGCACAGTGAATTTACGATAAAAATTACACTTTACATAACCGCAACCCAGCTGGGACAAAACGCGGAACCTCACTTGTTTATAAAAAATTATAGTGATCTTGCAACAAAAATTTGAAATATATAATTCATAGCCGATATAACAGGTCAAAATATACATTTGAAATCTGCGCATTATGAATTCTACTAACAACAAAGTTTCCAGAGCGTGGTGGAGTTGGAGTCGACTCCGAACTGTAAAAAACTTTGACTTCAACTCCAGCAACGACTCTAGATTAATGGGAATTGGGACTTACGAGGAAAGAAATTAAATTTTGATAATAAAAACTTTGGCGTTTGCAAGCCTTCTTTTAAAGATTGTTGAGAACGCTTAGATAAACGTATTTATTTTCTGCAGAAAATTTTCGATTTTAATTAGTACTATTAAAAATAAGACTCCGAATCCGCACACATTCCAAACTCTGAACCCTTACTCCGAGGATTTCAGTCTATAAGGAGACAATTTTCGCGACATACAATATCAATTAAATGCACCATTCAGGACAGTTGACCTTCTTATGCCGCCACTTTTCTATGGCTATATTTCTTAACATCCTCCTTTTTTCGGTGTGGCTTTCTGTCACGCCAATTACTTTCTCCGCGTGTCAGACATCATTTCTATTTTAAACATACAATGTCGCAAACCTTCCTTTAAAGTTCAAATGACCGTATCTGTAAATTCTGTCACTGACCGCCGTGTTTTAAAATTTACCGTACTTTTTCATCCTAATAATTCAAATATTGGATAAAACAACATGTGTGTATTAATATGTAGCTTTTATTACACTTGTGTTTGCTTATAACTACTGCACATGTCCATTTGCTCTGGTATGTGAATCCGTATGTACCGACTGCAATGATATTCCAGCTAGAATAAAAGCATCTATATTCTATATCTTGGGTATTCATTGAGAAGTTTTTTTGTAGTTTGCAATTTCCATGTGTAAAATTAATTTGTCGAATTTGCTAATTAACATTTTGAAGTCGTGATCAGTTGCAAATCAGAATTCTGTAATTCCAAATAATCATACGGATCTTATTTTTCAATGCAAAGAACTGGATTAAAATCAAGTGGGTATCCCGGTAATTGGATATGAATGAAGTTGGATTTCTGCAGAATTAGAAACTGCAGAGATTCATTATCTAAGACTAAGTTATGCGATCCATTTTTCAACAATTTGTCATTCAATTTTCCTAACTGAGTTACGGTATGTCGATGTAATAGCTATAAACTAATATAAACCTCATTGTTTGTTTATGTAAATTTGTCCGCACGAGTTAAAAAACGTGGATTCATACAGTACTGGTCGTGATGATTTTCATGACCGAATATTTTGGTAGTTTATATTTTTTTGTAACGGGTGCATCGAAATGATATCAGACTCATAATTGCAGTAATAATTACTTAAATTGAGACAGTTTTGACAAAATTCCCAGAAAAGTTAGTTTCAGTTATGAACAATGGACCTTTCCGCGACCTTTAACCCTCGAAAAATTCTTCCTATAATTTACCATTGCAAAATTTTCGGGGCTATTTTAAGAGTGCTTTTGCGAGTTGGCGCCTGTAAAATGGGGTGAGTGTTTCAAACCATCATTATAATTTATCGCATACAACAATCTGTTTTTTAAAAGTACCGGTAAAGAATTTTAGCCTAGCCTATCATAGCTATTTCTACACCAATTTTTTATTACTGTAATTAAATTAAAACTCCTAGGAAGAGTGATCATTGAATTACCTGATTTAAATTTCCGAAACACAACTGAAAACTAACGAATAGAGTTCAAAAACGCGAAAACGAGGTAATGCTTACGTCACAGTGGTTTGCAAACTTGATGTACTCGCGGCTCGCGGGCCGCATATACACATTTCCGGTAGCGTGCGGGCGCATTAATTTCTGCCTGCGAACAATCGCCGATTAAACCTATAATTATGGCGCACCCGCACTTCTATTTCTGTGTTACAATGAGACGTTCATGTTGCCTTTTTAAAATATATATATTATCAAACAATACATTGTTTTTATTTGTTTAAACTTGATGTTTTTCTGTGCCATGGCCAAAGCCTTGATATCAAATGACAACCTTGTTTCCCCACATTACGTCTTCCAAAATCCAAATGACAATTTGACAGACGAGTACGAAATTTATTGTGAGTGCAATACATTTCATAAAAAGCTGCTCACAGCAATATATATGTGACGTACACATTATACGTTTTGCACTGGCGCAACCTGGGGTCCCGGGGTCAAATTTCGTATTTGTAACAGGTTCTGTAAGTGACACTTCTGTAATGACGTTTAAAATTTAATGCCTAAATAACTGCGATGTGGACTTGGCATATCAAGCAAACCGTTTTCAAAATACGCAAGAAAGAAAAATATTTTCGTCCAAGCACATCGGATGTTCGACGCTCAACGCGAACTTCCCTTCGTTCCCGGAAAGAAAAAAATTCCATTTCTATATTTTAAATATCAAAATAAACTTATTTCAAAAAAAATTACAACCAACATCAAGTAAACGACATACAACTCAGAACTGACGCTACAGAAAAGCGCCGTACAGCTGGATTCGTTACCGCGCAAATCCGTAAGGAGACAACGATAAATTTGTAATCAATTTTGTATTATGCATTTAAATTTTAAAAAAAATAGTTCGCGGGCCGCATTTGGCCCGCGGGTCGCAGTTTGCCGCCCCCTGGATTACGACTACGCTTGAAAATCTGTCTGAGTGGGAAAAGTGTCTGAGCGAGTGCGAAAAGGAAGCATTGTTACGTCACTTTTTGCATCTTGCTGATTGGCCAATGTCACGATGTAAACAAGGAAGTCGATGCTAGGGGAAAGGTCCATTGGTTCATGTTCAAACTAATTTTTTTGCCATGTAATTGTTAAAAGTTTTTGTTTTTCGTAACATTGTTACTCTTAGTCATCGATAGTCATTCGCAGAAATGTATACGAATTTACTTAATACGAACGCCAATCTTACAATTGTTCCACTGCCTGAATTAGTTTTACTTTTGGGTCTGAACTATTTATTTCGGTTTTGAGAATGTACTTTCGGGTGTGTTTTGGGCTGGTTTAAGTAGTAAATCCTGTTTAAATTACAAAGTTAGGTTATAATCGTTTTGAAATAAGTTGAATCGTGTATGTATGTTCTACATATAACATCTCTTTTCCTTGGGCGACCAATGAATCAAATCACAACAAAATATAATTTATGTAATATGTATAGTATTATACAATACATCATATTGAATATAACATCTCATGACATATAAGTCACATGCTGTTTATTTAAATCCACGTCATACGACTTTAGGTAAAGTTGCGTGATAACTTATACAAGAATACTGTTTTTGTAATGAAGTTAAACATTTGAATTTATCATTTTTTGCTTATGTGAAGCTTAGCATAATTAAACAGAAGCCTTACATAAAAAAAAATTGATAAATTTAAATTTTTAATTTCATAAGGCTACTCAGATCACTTTTATCAAGACGACGACGAAACAAGTTATAGATAGTGTATGATATAAATGAAGTATCTCCCATTCATTGAAAAGTATTTTGTCAGCCATTTTTGATGAAATTAAAAAATTTTAACCCCTGAAACTGATAATGATAAGCAGAGCTGTCAAGATTTAATTCAGTTCAAAATTAATAATTTATATTAATTTTGTGTTACAAAGGCCCCTATACAGTATTTGAATGCACTTCCATGTTTGAATACTTGCTCCAGTTTACTGTAAACGATGTTTCTACCTCAAATTCGAGCATTATTTCACTTTCTTTGCTGCATTAAGTTAAAATGCAATTTGTGAAGTTTAGAAAATTCAAACTTTAAACCCCCAACTGCTTTAAATGAACCATGTTACAAATTAATGGGGGATGGCCACAACACTGCTCAAATTCAGTGTTTTTAAGTCAATTGTCAAGCATTTTGGTGATAGACTTTCATATGTCAAATTTAAAATATCTACATATTAAAGGGTAACATCGTAATTTTATTTTACTTGTAATACTATAAAAATGCCAAGCCATTGCCTTCAGCAATGTATATTAAAATGATATTTTGGCAATAATGTTGTGTATCTACATTATTTGGAATTATCACACATTGTATAAAATATATTGCTTTTGTGACGTATGTCTGATTATGTTAGCCTCGGATTAAGGTTTCGGTCGCAATTTTAGTAGATCTTTTTGTGATAATACACCTAGTTAGTAAAAGACTATTTTTTCAATTCATTTATGTGGAATTCACCACATGTCACATGCTGCTTTCTTGGTCGTATTGACTTGTACTACTTTACTTCTCACGTAAATCTCTGCGTTTGCTGATGAGTTTTGCACCGACACAAATTTCTATATTTTCAGTAGCTTTTTGCAATGTAGCGGTAGCTACAACTTTAACTCTAATATGAGTCTATTTTCATTCTGATTGAGTCAGCGTGACCTTGCATTTAACGAAATTCTCCTAAAATATGTTTGGTAGCATATATGCCATACAGCTTTTATGTTGTGATATAAGCTCATTATGAAAAAACATCTTACCGTAATCTTACACAAGATAAATCCCGTGTATTGCGTTATTTTTGAAATTTTGAACGCTTTAGATATTTGAAGATATCGATGGGTTTCGATTTCATATAGGTATAAAACTTTAGTCAGATTCGAATTTGAATGTAATATGACGCCATTTTATTGTCTCACACCGCATCACAGCGACCATCTATCGTTGCCTCGCTGGTATCGGTGGACATGGATAATACTGTGAGGATTTCCATACAACATGATGAATGTGTGTGTTGAAATTCCAATGACCAATTATGCAATAATGCAAATATCATGAGTCACTATTTTTTCTATTACGTTCAGGAAGCAGAGCAGTTAGAACGTGAACAGGAACTTTTGAGAGAAAACGTGCGTCGATTGCGGGTTCAGAAACTCCAATTGGGTAACATGCTGGAGGAACACGAACCATCATGTCAAAAAACAATCAGCGAAGAAGAAATAAAAACCCTCGAGGAAAAAGAAAGAAATTCAAACGATGATCAGCTTAAGAGCGCATCGTCTGGTGGAATGGGTGAGATTTTTTTCACTGTATCGATTTTTCTGACGAAGTAATTCTTCGGCCTGTCTCGGTCACCATTCCTTTAACAAGAACGATACTTTAATATTCATACTCCCGTACCACATTGTTTTATAGCAAAACACTCAAACGAAAAGTATACACAAGAGCTTTGCACATTGTTATCATAAAGCCTATTCTTGAGTGGAAATGTACGATTTCGCACAAACGAATGCAGACATGGCTGCTATCCAAAGAGCCCCTCTTACTGTTTTTCATAATAATACACGCTTTTGCATATCAATTCCGTTCCATGAAGTCACATATGATGTTTTGGTCACAATAGATGAATCTAAAAATTTTCATTCGAAAGTCTCGAATGCCAGGTTATGAAAATCCTACAATTGAGTTATGTTTTGTTATTATGTAAAACTAGTCAGCTACCTAATTTGAATAGAGGCACAAACAGCATTGCATCACTGTTTGAAATCACGTTATAGTGTAACGATGAATCAAGGTGGTTTACCAACAGTATTACTCAGTGGCTGCCTACTCTTATTTTTGCATGTAATCGGATTTTCGGTTTTGTGCGATGATTATTGTCACACAAAATTACAAACTCTATTATTTATTATCATAAACTATTGTTCTTTTATTAAACAATGATGGAAATGCGCCAAAATGGAAACCATGGACTTTGTACAAATTCCCACATCGGCGGTTTATTCATACGCTATACGATTACCTATACAATGACTCAATTCTTCTGTAGGCTGTGTTTTCCGATAAGTAGATGGCAATTTACAGTCTGATATTAATTTTAATTGTTATTTATCAATTTTAATGTTAAACCAACATAAACCCAGTTTTGTTGGGAACTGCATGCAGAAGAAAGTTTTAGTGTAAAGATAATACATTTCTTAGACAATTTTCGAATTTTCTGATCAATTTGCAGTACCTCGGAGGCCTAACACCGAATATGTAGATAAACATTTCTATACTTGATTCCTTCATGCTGACAAAAAAAAATTTCACTACCAAAGTCAAGAACTTAGAAACTCAAAACTGTGTACTCCGATAACCAGAGAAATTAAGTTTAGCGCAAACTGACTTTCGTTTGTCATCCGGTTACTCGTACAGTCTTAGGGCTGAACATTATTTTTAATTTCATTGATTGCTTCGATTATTCGGTGCTCCTGAAGTATGCGCACCAAAATGTCGCATAACCTGAACCTTAACCTGGTACACATACTATGTTCAGGTTGTGCGCCATCTTGGTGCGCATACTTCAGGAGGTCCGATTATTCATTCTTCTATCTATCTGTAAGTGGCGAAAAATAGCAACACAGAACTCTAACGAAGCTCTGCGATTGAAACAATTTATCAGATTCTATTCATCTCGAAGCATTCTGCCTCAAATTCATTAGTTCCGAAATTGGGTATCCGTTATAGCCGAAGTGTTACCAGACATGGGTTAAACTTTTAAATTTAAAAAACGGTAATAATTCATCTTTTGACTGGAAATATGCAAAAAATGCTTCACGGGTTACGGTTCAGTTTTCAGTTCAAGCAGGCAAGGAATTTTTCTCTTCATGCATACTTATTTTGGTCAGTTTTACATTCAATTGGCTTTCTTTATTGCTACTTGTTATTACTTGTAAACAGAATCTAAAATTTCGGAATTTCGCTTGGCCAATGTTCAAATGAAACGTTTTGTGATATTTATTCATGCTTCTAAAATGAGTAAATAGTCTTTGTCTTTGTGGGCCAAGAGGGAATAGTGCTGCAACGGAAATGACGAAGCGTCGAGTCATATTATGCGTACCATTATAACAATGAGTATTAACAGCGTTGGTGTTATTTGATGTCATCCGTATTTTTGTACGAGAATTTGACTGTTTCATTTCGATTGTTTCATTCGATTAAAACAGGTTTGGAGGATAATTTTTTATGCGCCTTTTGAAATACAGATAATCAACTATAATGTGATCTAAGTTTGGAAAAAATCTTTTTAATCTATAATAAAAATAAATTAAATTGAAACAGAAAATTTAATATGAACATGTGCATTGATATCAGTACTAAACTACTGTAGGAAATCCATTTAGGAGCTGAAGGTTCGATAAAATAAGCAGGCCTAGATTGTCATGCAGGTAATTTGAACTTCAAGCACCAAGATTTGGTTAAAATTGATTACAACGAAAACTATAAACCTTGGTTCATATGCAGCAAGTCTGAAATAATTTTAATTATTAAATTAAAGTAGAAAATAGGGACTAGTAATATATAACAAATCATAATGCATGCAATATACAGTTATAAAATGTGAATCAAACTTGGTAAATTGTCGTGAAATTACTCAAGAATGGCTTTAGAATGAAGTAAAATAATGATTCTCTTAAAACTTTTCCCCTTGTCCAAACAGCTTCTTCTATTTACCAAGTACTAGTACATTGCTTCTCCCCAAGGATGTCAAATGAAAAAAAGTAAGAGTTGGGATGAAATCATGGTGTTACATTATTAACTCATAGTGGTTTAATTTACAGATACCAATGAATCATCTGCGTCAAAAATTTCATCATCACCTCCCCAAGTAACAACTCAAGCATGAAGTTCACTCATACACGACAAGTTGAGTTTCATTGTTGGAATACATCTTTCGAAGTTAATATTGGTATCTAACCGTCCAATGTGAACAGGAAAACTCATGCACAATTTTTATCCATTGTTGTGATCGTGCACTTACCAATTTGATTTTCACCAAGATGTATGAGCACGCATCTCGGTTTTTGGAAGTGAGGACATAATATTACTTTTCTAAAGCAATGGGTCTCGATTTCTTCAGTGTGAGGAGGTGGCAAGGACCAAAGTTCACTGCATATTTGTATAATATTTTATTTCCTTTTCCCCAATTTTTATGGGTATCATGTCTGCTGGAATTTATTATAAAATTTCATTCAAGTGTCAGAATCATGAACGCAGTGCATCATATTTTGTGCGATTCTATGCAATCGAGAGTGAATATAGTCGTTCACTCTATTATCACAATGTTTTTTTTAAGTGAATTTCCTTTTCAAACCAGGAAATGGACTTAGCTGCTTGTTTTTCCTTGTGTCGCCACAGATCAGAGAATAGGAATGCTGTGGGTAAATTCTAACATTGTGATCATAAAATGTGGTCAAAAAGGAAACATATGTTAGTTTGAAATTTAGAAGGATTTGTCTTCGCAGTAAAATCATATAAATTCAACTCTGATCGAAAAATCGTTAAACAATGCAATTGCTGTTTTTCAATGCAAGTCTTACTTTCTATCAAGCGCAACTAATGTTTCGCGATTTAAGTAATAATTGAACTGACACAACTAATATTCAATATTTTTATTCGTCTAATATGTTTATTGCACTACAATTTTGCCTGTCGATAAAATTAAACATTATTCGTTTGAAAAACACTCATAATCGGTTTACTGGTTGACCATATTTACTCACACCAAGCTATAAGATTCGCCTGTTGTCATTGTTCGCAACGCAACACTGTGTAAGATTTGCCGCTTCAACAGCAGCTAAACACTGTTCTGCCTGGATTTTCTACCACTGATTTCGACACGATGGCGAATAGTAATATTTTCTCAACAACCTGTTGTTTACTA